TTTCATTTTTACACACCATCCAATGCACTTCTTTAATCTATTTTATCTTGTAATTTGTATATTAAAAAATTATAAAAATTATATATTAATAATCTATATGTTAAGACAAATCAAACAAGATCACACATGACTATATTTAGGCTTACACATTGAGAGAATTTGATGAGTCAAAGTGCTTAGATGAACAGTTCCAAAAGTCAAATGTGGACAAATACAGAGGCGGAGGGAGTAGGGATTTCTAGGCATTTAAATTAAATACACACTAGCATCCAAAGACCCACTCATCCTTTCACACACACAACTTCTATATTTAGCCGTCCAAGTTTTGCGTGCCCCATTTTGCCTATGCATTCCTACGTCACTTATTCCCTATGGGGTAACTAATCTGACTACGGCCCATGTTGCCAAATTTGTTAGCTTCTGTAACAAATTGTCCAAATTTTGTTAAAAGAGTCTAAATTGTGAATACTCGTTGTGTCCCATTAAAATTTTAAATAACTCTTAGGTCTTTGTTTAATAAATTTTAATGGTTCAGATTAATTTAAAAAATGCGAAAGATAAATGATTCAAATAGTAGGTATTACTAAATACTACCTTTGGCCTCATTTAATTTTCCCATTTGTCTTCAAAATTACTTCCACAGTACCATAAAAATCTTTTTACTAGCCTTTTTTGTTGCCCCAACAGAACTTTCAATTTCTTTTAAAGTAAATTATTTAAAGTTTTAATTTTATTTTGTTTTTATTTTTAGTATCAAAATTAGATTTTTAATGGGACGAAGGGAATAATATATCTCGCAAATTAAGATACATTCCAGGAAAAATTTGTCCTCACCTTTCTATAGACAATGAAAATATAACTCCCTCTATCCTACAATGGAAAGTATTACGTATTACGTATAAATTACGTCGTTCAAAAGTACATAAAAAGTTGTACAAAACAAAGAGTGACAAAAATATTTTATAATATTTTACTATAGCTAATTTTTAGTGAAATCATAGACATAAATAAAAATTATCGAAAAACCATACAAATATCAAGGAGATTCATTTTGAGACGGGTAGTAATACTTTTATTTAGAAACTAAGCTAATAGAATCACATAAATTTAGGCATGTTTTTCAAAACAAATTTGGGTCAATAATAAAGCACTTGAATAGTGAAACGGCATAATTGAAAGAATAGATCCCCTGTCTTGGGTTGGGCCATCAGGCCAGGGCGCATATATTCCATCTGGCTAAACAACGTGCGGCGCCAATCCCTAGCCTCTCCTAAATTTTATTACTCTAATTTTTTTTATTATTTTTTTCAGGGAATTATTTTATTAAGACCGAAATTTTTGGAAAGAAAAACTAAAATATAAATAACATATAAGAAAAAAATAAAAAAACATTCTTTTTTATTCACAAAATAAGACTTAAAATTCATTAATTTCAACATATAAAACCAAAAAATAATAAGAGTATTAAATGATAAACTTTATCTCATGTTCAAACTTTATTCACTTTCTTTACCTATTTTTGTTTGTTATTTGTTAAAATAACATAGTCATGTCACTCATTGTTTTGTAGAATTTTTTATATAATTTTAAAATATGAAGTATAATTTTTATTTTTAAATTTTACACATATAATTAAATAAATTAAATTGATAATAATTTTAGGACGAAGAGAGTAATATATAATGCAATATTGGCACGGTTAAAAGTCCTATTTAAAGATAAAAGTATATCATTTTTATTTTTAATGATTTCTTAAAATTTAGAGGGTATTTATTTAATGGTACATTACTCCCCTTTTTTTTTAATCTACTTTAATTTATGTGATGATGTCTGTTGATTGAAGACTTCAATGTCATTGACGTCGTGATTTTACCAAAACAAATGCAGCCAAAAATCGTCTTCAACTCCACCGAGTACGGTGTCCAACGGCGGAGACCAAACCCAACCGGCCACCGACGGCTCGATGGTATACGACGGATCGTTGGACTTCAGCGGCAGCGCGCATCCAATCCACCGCGTCCACGTCGCAGTTACCGTTGCCGTCGCCATCCTAACGGCAATCTTGCAGGTGGGGTGTCAGCTATTATAACGCGTATCGTGGCCCATCTTACCCTGTCGGCCTGGTAGGCGATGGGTCGACGTGCGGTCCGTCGTTGGGCCCACTTTGGCCCGTTTCTCAACACGGCCCATGTGACTTGCAGATGCGGTCACCACTGAGAGCTAGACGCGTTAGCAAAGAAAAGGACACACATCTTCAGACAACGCCACAGCATTAGTCATTATTATAATAATAATTATTATTATTAATTTATTATGAGTATTATTTGTCTTAATAAATTTTCATGGCACCAATTAATTTAGCCCAAAAAAGTCCATGAAAATCTAATTTAATTTGACAATTCTGAACATTTTATTCTTCAATTTTTTATATAATATTGTTTGGTTTGTAGGTTTAGAAATGTTGTACAATTATATCTATCAAAAAATTAAAAATGAACGGACACTGCGTAAATCTTTAATACTCCGTATCTGTTTTTTTAATCCATATTTTGTTTTAGACGTTTTAGACATGTGTCATTGTCTCCAAAAAAGATGAGCTCTAATTTTTTTTCGAGGAGTTTCAATGCTGTTAATTCTTATAAGTATTTGTGGTATATAAGAGTAAAACATTATCCGTTTCCTTGAATAAGACCTTTTAATTTTAATTCCATATATAAAATTTAATTAATTAACAATTGAATAATACTTCCTCCGTCCCACTATATTTGTCCACTTTCATTTTTGCATACCATTCAATACACTTCTTTAATCCATTTTATCTTGTAATTTGTATATTAAAAAATTATAGAAATTATATATTAATAATCTATATGTTAAGACAAATCAAACAAGATCACACATGACTATATTTAGGCTTACACATTGAGAGAATTTGATGAGTCAAAGTGCTTAGATGAACAGTTCCAAAAATCAAAAGTGGACGAATATAGCGGGACGGAGGGAGTAATATTTATTTACTAAAATACCCTTAATAATGATATATGACAAACATATAATGTAGAGTGATACTTACATGATGATCTCAAGGTTTAAAATGTGAACCTTTTCACATTTCATGTGGATATTCTATTTTTTGAAAAGGCATAATTTTTTTTATAGTATATGCACTAAAGTTCATATAACGAGTATAAACTTTAGGTAAACGGAAAAATTTGCCTATAATGTAAAATAAGACCGGAAATAACATTGAAAAATGCTTAAGTCATAAACACAGGTCCCAAGAAAACATAAATCTGTCATTTGTATTTAAATTTCTACTTTGAGTTTCTAATTATTTAAAATCATTTTGTTTTTTAATGCACAAATAATAAAATTGTGTATTTCATGACTATCATATTTGTGACTAGTGTTTTTTAGTAGCATTTCTACTGATGTAGTATTTTCTCTGTTTTTTTGACATTTTAGTCCATCCATCCTATAAAACTGTCCTGCATATATTAGTAGAATTGCAATTTCATCAGTGCTGGCAAATGCTCGAGTCTTTAGAAGTCTCTAAACCCAACAGATATAAGTAAAGGCCTATTTTTTTGATCTCTTGTTCACTTGATTTCAAGTCTAAAAACAATACTGTGTGTCAATATTTCGTAGTTGGTACACTTTTATTCAAAAATAGGTAACATCAATGCCAAAAATGGATGCACTTCAATCATTCCCATAGTAAAAATTAAGCTGGAAGAGAAAAAAAAATATAAATAGCCAGAGTATGGCTCATTAGTGAAAGAGAAAATTCTCATAAAAGACAAATTCCTGGTAAAAACATTGTTTACAGTACAGCGTATGGCACAAAAGTCACCCCTCCCCTTAAAAAGAGAATTAAAAAAAGACTAAACAGGAAAAGTCAAAAGAAGATGGCAAACAAATTCCTTCTTGCCTGATAATTAAACGGCCTTATAACTCGTCCTTGATTCCATCAGAAGACTCTTCTGTTGGAGAAGAAGCTCCGGCGGAGGAACTGGGATCCGCTGCCTCTTTCCCGCCCTCCACCTCCGCCTCCTCAGCCGCGTCTTGTTCCTCCTCCACCTCAGCGTCGGCGCTGATGTCCAGACTCGACTTCACGGAGCTGTAGATGCGGGAGGCGAAGTCCTTGGGGTCATTCAGCAGGAACCCGCTCTCCATCAGAGCCGTCTGGTACATGAGCTGAGCCGCCCCCTTTGCCGCCTCGTCCGCCGGGTCGGCCGCCACTCTTTCCCGGAGCTCCTTGACGATGGGGTGGCGGGGGTTGATCTCCAGCACCCTCTTCCCCTTCATGTACGCCTGCTTGCTCGCGTCCGACAGCGTCTGGGACTGCATGATCCTCTCCATGTTCGCGCTCCACCCGTACTTGGACGTCACCACCACGCACGGCGTGTCGGCTAAACGGTTGCTGATCTTCACGTCGTCCACGTTGTCGGCGGCCAGGGCGGATTTCCACCACTTGGTCAGCTCCTTGAATGACTCCTTCAGCTCCTTGTCTTTCGAGTCCTTGATCTTCAGACCCTCCTTGGACACGTTCTGGAATTTCTTGTCCTCGTAGTCCATCAGGTATTGCATCAGGTATTCGTCCACTGGATCCGTGAAGAAGATGACCTGGAGAAAATGATCAATGAATGAATGAATGATTCACGAATTAGAGGATGGTTTATTAATTATTATAATTATATATACCTCATAGTTTTTCTTTTTGAGTCTTTCGAGGAAGGGAGATTTCTCCAGCTGTTCTTTGTTTGTTCCAGTGATGTAGAAGATGTCCTTCTGGCCTGCCTTCATCCTTGAGATGTACTGGTCCAGGGAGATGAGTTTACCATCTGATTTTGTTCTGAAAACAATAAAATGAACAAGAAGAAGCAGCAAGTCATGAATGGATGGTTTGGTTTTGATGAGTTGCAGAAATCTGACAAGAAGACAAGGCATTATCTTACGTCTCAACACGAAGAAGTTTAGCCAAACGGTTCCTGTTCGCGGCGTCCTCTATGATTCCAAGCTTTATTGACTTGCCAAACTCGTTCCAGAATTTGGCGTACTGTCCTTTCTTCTCATTCTTATCATCACTGCCAGATTCCTCAACATCTGTTGAATAGAGAGTGATTAAAATGATCAAAATCAACTAGACAATAAGATTATGTTTGGATGGAGGTAAGGTTTTGGAGGTTAAAAGACCCACCCACCTTTGTCCTTTTCACTAGATTCATCTGGATCCTCTTCGGCAAGTCTGCGGATCATATCAAGAGCCTTGCGGATGAGTTTCTTCTTGATGGTTTTTAAGCTGCTGTGTTGCTGGAGCATTTCTCTTGAGACATTCAATGGTAGTGTGTCAGAATCCACGAGACCCTGGCAGAAAAAAAACACCAACAGCCATCAGGTTGACTGTCGATCTCGGAACCAATCTTTTTATACAATGACGAGGTGAATGTGCTCTGAGAATTACCAACAAAAAGTTCAAGTATTTGGGCAGCAATTCATCGAATTCATCGGAGATGAAGACGCGCCGGACATATAACTTCAAGTTGGACTTCTTTGCGTTGTAGTAGCTCTCGTATAAATCGTGGGGCGCTTTGGGTGGAACAAATAGAACGGCCTTGAACTCAACATCACCTTCAGCAGTGAAGTGACTCCATGCAAGTGGCTTCTCCTCGCTGAAATCCTGCATCAAAGTAAATATATAACTTTCAGCTAATGCCCTCCCTGCCCAACAACCCATATACAGTGTAGAGAAGTAAGATATTGATTTTATTTACCTTGGCTAGAGAGTGATAGAATTTCGCATACTCTTCCTCTGTCACCTCCTTGGGGTTCCTTAGCCATATAGCTTTGACATCATTCAAAAGCTCCCATTCGTAAGTGGTTTCCGTCACTTTCTTTGTTTTTGGCTTTTTCTCTTCATCCTCTTTCTCAGATTCTTCGTCTTCTGCTTCTTCCTCAGAAGAGCTGGTCTCAGCTGTTCATAACATTGAAAGTGAGAAACCAGGACAAATGAAGAATATATAAACAAATGCATTGCATAAAAATAATCAGGTTAGCACGCACATGATTCCTCTTCATCGGTATCATCTTCATCAGCAGGAACCTCCTTTTCCACCTCTTTGCTTGCCCAGAGAGATATTGGGAAGTTGATGAACTCAGAATACTTTTTCACCAAGTCCTAATGTAGAAAGTAGAGAAAGCATTAATACTTGGAAGAACAAAAATTAAATAGATTTATTAATGAAGTCTGTGACAGGAAGCAGGGGGTTCTGGTTGTCCTTCACACAAAAGAAATCCTGAATCTAGCCCCTTCGGCCTAAAAGGAACAAATCAAAGTAGAAAGGCGAGAAAATAGGAAAATAAACAAAAGCAAGCATCAAGAACGGGACAGCACAACCAAGTCCACATAAGAGCAAACATCTAGACACGCCCTATAACTACTAAACACAAGCAGCAATAAATAGCAATCTACTAAACACAAGCAGCAATCTACTGTCTCTCCATCCTAATCATCAACCGCCAAAACTACCTTTTAGTGGTAATGTCCTCAGTTAGCTTGAAATATTACATGGTATACTCCATTTCCCATTTCGATTTTGAGGTTCCAATCTTCATACGACAGCACCAAGCAATAAAAATAGAAGTATTAAGGGAGCTTAAACTACCATGAACTCTTATTTATTAATAAAAAAACATGAAGTTTCAGTCTATTGTTTCTATCAAAGATGCAAATAGGCTAAAAACTATGGCCATTTTAAAACATGAGAATAAAATGAAGAATATTTTTCAACCCATATCACAAGAAATACGAGTAATTAGCTGTCCATTTGTGCCTCAGAATCATATAACGAATGTATAAAGAGTCCATAAAAAGAACCAGTGAGTCTAAATGTTTTATGCAGGAGCTAAGACCATAATTACTTCTTTACTTTACTCACCTTTAATTTGGACTGTTCCAAGTATTCACCAGCTTCATCCCTAAGGTGCAATCTGATTTCAGTTCCACGGCCAAGTGGCTCGTTCCACTCATCCTCAGAAATTGCAAAGGCTCCATCAGCCTTTGATTCCCAAACATATCTGAAGGCAGAGATTTTGGAGCAATTACTCACATCATATTTTGAGAAATTAGAAACCTTGATGATCAGTTAGGAGGCTGGAAAAGAAATAAAATGGGGAGGAAAATGGAGAAAGAAAGAAAATTTGGGGGAGGTAATATTGTTAAGGTCACAAAAGAGCACAGATTCACACATTCAATTCATTGGACATCATGGTAGAACTTACTGCTTATCATCATTGTGTTTGCTAATAACTTCTACATAGTCAGCCACAAGATAGACAGAGTAGAACCCAACACCAAATTGTCCAATAAGGTTAAGGTCTCCACTTTTCTGCATTTTCTCAACAAATGCTGTACAGAACAGCAAAGCAACAACCATATAACTAATTCTGCCCAATAACAGAGAAGAGGATAAAGTACGCAGCTAGAAGTGAACTACTTTTCCATACCTGAAGTGCCAGATTTGGCAATGGTTCCCAAATTCTTGATTAAGTCCTCCTTTGTCATCCCGATTCCTCTGTCACGAATAGAAAGGATTTTCTTTTCTTTATCCAATTTAATCTGCATTGTAAAGCATATGAAAGAGAGTAAAATATTTAACCCATAAATTACAGTTAATAATGTTTTCTATTAAAAAAATACAAAGAAACAAACTACCAACCTGGATCTCGAGCTTGGCATCATCACCCTCACCCAATACTTCCTTGTCAGTGAGTGAAAGGAATCTGATTTTGTCCAATGCCTGAATACATTGAAAGTTGTTATTACTAAGGTTTTTATCCAACCCGTTTCAAAGAACAACCACGGGATGCAATAACACTCACATCTGAAGCATTCGAGATCAGCTCCCTCAAGAAAATATCTTTATTGCTGTAAAGTGAATTGATAAGGATGTCCATGAGCCGAGAAACCTCAGCCTGGAACTCAAATTTCTCGGCATTAGCTCGGAGTGTCCTCTTAGACATGGACTCAGATTCCCTGGATTACAAATTCAAGTTACACTCAAGACATAGCAAAAAGCACAAGCTGGACCAAGATATAAGCTCCGCATTAGCCAACCTTTTAACCACATCAGAATCAGTAGATAACCCATGAGGAACACCGCCTATCTTTTCCTCAACCTTAGGCGGATCCACGGGTACATCAGATTCAGCTTCTGCATTGGCATGAATCTTCCGTCCTGTAGAAGTCACGCATCATCACCATCAGTCACAATTCACACTCGAAATTAGACTACCGCCAAACCAGAAAAAAAATTCGCATTTGACGATTGCTAGATCCAAAACGTAATAAATTAACAGCTCGATTCCAGAAACACAATTAAAATCATGTTCTCTCATCTGGTTAGAAGTGAGTCACGATCGAATTCCAGGAATTTCTATAAGATCTAAACAAAGAGCTCTATTTCCTTTGGAGAAATGATTCAAGTTTTTACGAACAAGTACGATTTCACACACCTAATTTACAAATCTTCTTCGAGCTGAACACATTTCAGTGTCTAAATCTCAGATAGCAATCCGATAAAGCATTAAACAAATGGCGATGGATAATCGGAAACTCACCTTGATCCGGGAGAATCAAGAGAAGGCAAAACAGAAACAGTACGGCCGTGACCGTCCACTTCCTCATTGTTGCCGGCGGCGACTCGATCTCTGCTCTCTCACTCGGAAAACTCTCTGCTTCGCAATTTAGGAGTCGAATTCTCAGTGAGTGGATTATATATGGAAATGGGGGAACAAGATCCGACGTGTCGAGTGCGTCCACGTGTTATTGGTTAATGTTGCCAGCGTGGATGATCCGACGGATATGGTAGCTTTGGGTCTGCGTGGCAATATTTGATTGGATACCTATATCGCAGTAGACGTGGATAACGTGTAAGTTTCTCGAAGACTCTTTTTAGAAGAAGGGAATTTATAATTTCAAATTCACACCTAAGTGTTGGAAATCAAATTATAGTTCACGAAATTAAAAAAAATGGCTCTTGGTATTTGTGCAGTTTAGACTCTTTGCAGTCAGTTTTTTTCAATATTTGATACTCCGTATATATTTACATTAAATATATATGATTTATTAATTAAATAAAATAATATTTTAAAAATAGTAAATAAAATAAATCTAATAAAATTAGCTTTGTATCAATAACTAAAACTCTGTATCATACGTAGTACTCCCTTCGTTCCCCTAAGATGTTCTCATTTTGACTTTTGATGGTTTTTAAAGAGAGTTGAAAAAAGGTAAAAGTTTATCATAATACCCTTTATGAAAATGGGTGGAGTGTATTAAATGAGATAGGTAAGATGTAATAAATAAAGTAAGTGGGGTAGTTGTAGTATTTTAATTGTTAAAAAATGAAATGAGAAGATCTATTGTAGATAAAGAAAAAGAACTATTTAGAAGATCTATGGGGGACGGAGGGAGTATTTGCTTAATCAACTTCTTTTGACAACAACCTTTGTTCTCATATATGACAACAAAGCCTACGGTACCATCATATTATGACAAGAAAGATTGTTGTCAAAAGAAGAGGAGAGTTATTTAATCAGTGGTTAATTTTTTTTTAAATTTGACAATAAAAAATAGACCGATATTCAAAGACAAGTATAGTATTTTGTACTCCGTATATATAAAGTGAAAAGTATTACTCCCCTTCTTCACGGTAGTAGATAATAAAATAAAAAGCATATACTAAAAATTATTCACATCTCTCACACACATATTTTTTTTGAGTGAAAATATCATTTTTTTCACATCTATCACGTCTAATAGTATAAAAGTAATAAGGCATGGCTTCCTCTTCTCAAAGCAAGCTAAATGTGATAACCAAAAATATGAAGAGCGTATAAAATTATTATCATTACTAATATCGGAAGGTTCTATTGACACTGTCATCTAAAGTCAAGGGATGACACTTGCTTATTTCGAGCACCTCTGGTGCTCTAAATGAAAAATTAATGGTCCTTGTTCTTCTTAATTCTCCACCGCACTCCCACCCAAGTCCGTCCCACCCCCGCACCTCCACCCAAAATTCCCCTTTTACCCCCTCCAAATGTGTGGCTATATGCAATAAGCATAATAGCCACACATTTGAAGGGAGTAAAAGGGGTTGGGGTGCAGCGGTAGAACTGGAGTGGGGGCGGTAGGGGGTTTAAGGGTGAGTTAGGGGGTAGGAATCATCAATTTTGGATACAGAGCACGTGAGGTGCTCGAAATAGGTAGGTGTCTTCTTTTGATACTAGGTAAAGTGCCAACGGCTCTAATAATATAACAAGAGTTGTGAGCACAAGAGTATAGGGATGGCTGGTATGTAGCATCCCTCAATGAATTACAGATTTACAATGTGGGTTTGTATAAACTTGGATTCTTGGAAGGACAAAACAGAATTACCCATTTTTAAAGCTAACGAGTTTGGTTAGTTAGCAAACGAAGAAGAGATAAGCTGCCATTACTAATATTCATCTTCTTCACATGGGTTGCTGCTTTCTTTTCTCCTTTAGCACCCTGCAGTTACATGGTGTCAGTCATAAACCATAATCATCAAGCTGCTTAAGGAACGTGCAAATACAATCGTAACACAACAACAGATTCCTATATACTATGTTTGGTTCAAGGAATTTGAAAGGAAAAAGAAAAGAAAATGAGATGGAAAACCGTTTCTCTTGTTTGGTTGGAAAGGAAAACAAAAGAAAAGTGGTAGGAAAAGAAAATGAGAAGGCAAAATGCAATACGAGGGAAAACCAAATTCCTTCCATTTTGGTGAGGGAAATGAGTGAAAACCCATTTTCCTTTCTTTTTCTCCCAAAATTCCTTGAACCAAACATAGTGATTGAATCCATACAAGGGAATGAGGTCTGAAGTTTTGTGGGCTATGCAATGGGCAATGATAACTAGAAGGGAAAGCTATATTGTTTAAAGGTCTCACCTTCACCTTCTCAGTCTCATCCACAAAGTCAACTACACTGCCAATATCTTTTAGTAGGATGGCCGAAGCTGGCTGGAGTCTCCTGTTCCAATTAAACGTGTCACCTTAGTACAAGTAATGTTATAGGAAATTATGTTATTACCAAAATCCAGGAGGAACAAGAAAAAAAACCGCTTTTGGTCCCATGACTAATATGTCATTCACACATTTGATGCCCACAAGAACACAGAGTATGGACTCCTTATCACTTAGTCCTTCGAGGTCACGTATAAAAGAAAAATCAACTGGAAAATGGCTGGGTAAGTGGGTCAGAAGAGCCAAAAGTGACAAGAAATCTATCGTCGTGAACCAAATGTATAAATATTAGAAATGGGGAACCAAAAGTGAGAATGGCACTATAGCCATGGGACTGAAAGTTGGAAACTTTTTAAAAAGGAGTTAATAGCATTCTCATAGTGTTGCTTCAAGCAAACCTTTTAGGTTTCTCGGCATTTTTGGGAAAGCCACAAGTGTGTTTCGGTACAGCTTCTAATGCATTGCATGTCCCAACATCTTCAGGTTTTGGTGATGTGGTATGCACGTGCCTCTGAATTAAACAAGAGAGTAAATGGATGTACATAATCATAAAAATCATCAAAAGTAAATATTGTTTTTTCCAAATACATAAAACAATATAAATGTGAATTTACCTTTTCGTCGTCATGTTGTGGCTGGTTTAAGCTGTGAGATGACAGGGGAGAGTTGGAAGTGGGTTCTGATTCTACACATATTGAATCTAATAAAAAAACAAGTAAATATCATATTACCAATTTATGTAGATGAAGAAGCAGTAAAAGAAGTAAAAAGGTTGCCTCATTGTTTACCACCTGTTCTTTCTTTGTGATTTTCATTATCCTGATCTGCGCACTGGCACGAATCTACAATGATTCCACGTGCTTCGCATTCCAAAGAAGAATCCTCCACTATAGCATCTTCTAACTTTGGATCTTCATGAGACTTTACACGATGATCCTACATGAACAATAGCTTATTAGTTCTATTGAATTAATTTTCCATCTGACTATTATAGGGAGGAAATTAAGAGGGAAAGGATTTAGGAGAAAATAAAAGATAGGTTCAATCTCTATAGATTTGTTGGAGATACTTGTCCAAAAGCATTTTATTTTATTTTAATTATATAAACACTAAGATATCTAGATTGATATTTAAAAATATTAAAAAGATATATCATATTTAATCTTCCTTTTCATTTTCATGATAAAACCAACATCATAATCATCATCACCATCATCAAACCCAGTAAAATCCAACAAAAAGTAGAGCTTCGAGAGGGTGTATGTACATAGACCTTACCCCTACTCAAAAGTATAGATGTGGTTTCCAATAGACACTCAACTCAAACACAAACACAAACACACAAACAAAGTAAACAGAGTAAACAAACAAATATACATAATAAACTTTAGTTGCCATTTTTTCATTTCCCTAGAATTTTCCAAAATCCAGACACATCTTGAGTAATATTTATTCCAGTAATATTTGGTACTCACTTCTACCTATGCCTATCCTAAATTTCTTATCTTAGAACAATCAGAAAGAAATAAACATTAGTTTGTTAAAGAACAATTTACTTAAATAACACTAAAACATAATGACTTTCCCTAAATAGCACCACATGTGTTTTCTTCCCAATGTAGCACTTTTAGTCATTATGAGTTAGGCATTATTCAAGTAAATATTCGCCATCACTGGACATTATGGACATTATTAAGTGCTATTTAGGGAATAAAACAGTTTAAGTGCTATTTAGAAAAATGACTTAAATTTTAGTGTTATTTAGTGCAAATATTTCTTTGTTAAATGTCAGGATGCTCAACATAGGGGAAAAAGCACACCTGCAATTGCAATAAAAATAACAGATAGCATAATACAAATATAATATGAGTAATCAGTAATCACAATAAGATATGTTCTCTATTCTGTGCTCCAAGCCTCGCCAATGTCAACTGAACGATGATCCTCAGTACAGAAGAGCATGTCTGCTGATGATATGATTTGAGAAGACAGTGGGCTTTTTGAATCATCCTTAAATTCGTGTTTTAGAGTGCAGTCTTCATTTTCAGAATCCTGTTTGCAAGATAATCTAAACCAATTATATATTGATACCTTGAGGGTCCGTTTGGTGCACAGATAATGTTACGGAAAGAAACTACGGTGGAAAAAATAAAGGAAACTTGGACTCTAAGAAATTGTGGGGAGAAATTCAATATTACTTAAAACTTAGTAAACTAATATTTCATGATATATGTTCAAACTCACTTTATTTAAATATTTCTATTATATAAAAACTAAATTACAAAAAATTTCTGGAAATTCTTAAAATGTTTAATCAAATTCAGTTTTCCTTTATACACACACAAACATTTTCATTAGTATTTTTTCCTTTCCCAACAATTCCCCAATTCCCAAACATGGCCTAAATATTGCCCCGCATGCGCATGATCTGGAACTGGTACTTGTTCAGGTAATAACTAAATAAGACGACAAAAGTCTTTGATGCCAGTTCAATTAATGCCAAACCAGACGAAGGTTTCCGCCTTACATTTTCATGGCATATCTCCTCATTTCCACTCTGCTCGGATGATGGTAGCTGACATGAAGAACGTTCTGAATCATCCTGACCAGTACCACCCATTACCCAACCAAAAATAAAAGCAAAAGGGAAGATCAATAAGATTCACTTTTAAAAGATTACTAATATGAAAAAGCACTCGGCAAGGAAACCTGTGTGACATTTTTAAACAGAAGGAAATACAATCATTGTGGATATGCAATTATGAATCATACTCCTTCCGTCTCATTAAACTCTTTACACTTTCCTTATTTGGACGTCTCAAAAAAACCTTACACTTGATTAGTACTTTTTTGGTAATGAATGGTGGCTACCAACAATTCTCTCTCCAAACAAATTCTAACCACATACGGAGTACTTTTTACTTTTCAACAACTTTCAAACTCTGTGCCAATCAAAGTGTAAACACTTTTTTGGGAAGGAGGAAGTATGTTTTAAGGTGCATAATGTAGACTGCAATAGCCTATAAAAAAATATTCATAAATGTAATTGTTTAAGTACACAGTATACTACAATATAGATTATCCCATGCTATTGTTATTTGAGTACCTTCCACGTTTCAACTGATTGACAATCTTCAGGGGGAAACATCATAGATGTAGCAATACTTTTAGACGAATGCCGATCTTTTAATTCCTTCAGTTCCACCCTAAGGCTGTATATTTCATTATCAGCAACCTGTTGATAAGCAACTATTAATATATATATTTGGTTATCTACTCTAGAAACCCCCGCATACACTGAATAATGAAGTCAGAACCTCAAGCTTTTTCTTATAGTCCTTTAATACTTTCCATATTGCCTTAGAAACCCCAAGTAAGACATGATATTCTCTATCTCTTGCTTTAGTATTAGTTTGACACACTATAGGAGAAGAGCTCTCATTGACTTTTGCCAACTTGTTTTCCTCAACGCCTCCAATGGCAGGTTCTACACATGCAATCCACGAACAAATTGTTTTAGAGCAATGACCCATATAGAGATGCACTACATAGTACAAAACAGGGGGGGAGGGGGGAGTATGAACTTTGCATTACCTTCTTTTGAAAGTGAGAAATCTTGTTTCTTCTTTTTTCCACCAGACTGCAATGAAGTGATAATAGTTCAAGAGTTATGAATGATAAAGAATGTGCATTTACAATTTTAAAGAGAAAAAATTACAACCACATGTATATATAGACACACATGCACATGAACATTAAAGTACTCCGTACCTTGCAAGATTCGATATCACCCATCTTAATTCTTTTGTGTTGGTTTGATATGGGCAGTGTCTGTCGAAGCCTTTTATTGCAGTTTAAATTTACTGCTTCTTCGTTGCAGTCAAACCTATATACCCTAGGCATAATTAGCATTTACAACCCATATTGGGATATCGAAGACAATTCTTACAGAGCTATCATACTTTATCTTTGTGTATGGTGAAGCCTGCCTAAGCAGAAAAGAAGTATCAATATAGTCTTCTTCCTCAGATCTAGCAGTAATAAGCTGAAAGGGAAAATGAAACAACTACAATGTCATTGACTCACTATCAAGATTAATCATGCATAGCATTTTGCAAGGATAAATGTATAACATACTTATATTCCTCAAGTACACAGTTCATACTAAACGTAATTATAAGATAAAGTGCAAAGAACAAACCAACGCCATCCGCTTCTTTCCCTCCAAATAATCTCTCAAGTATCTTGTCAACTGATCAAAGGTAACAAATCAAATGCAGAAATAATCATCTCAAATTAATAAAAAAGGCCGAATGAAGTTAATAAATATTCTTCGGCAAATAAAAAGCACCTGCCAAGGAGTTCTGTAATTGATACAAGGATAAAAACATTTGAAGGAAGAGGATAGGATGTAGAAATGTTACCAGGGAATTTTGGAAATGTTTATGCAATGGCTTTTTGGGGTTCTTCTGATGTTCCAGTAAAGACTGCAATGGGTTATGGGTAGGTGAGACAATATAATTAAAAAGAGGGTTAAATATGTTTTTGGTCCTTGTAATGTTAGCGAGTTTTGCATTTGGTCACTCTAATATATTTTTAACTAAATTTATGTTTTGATCCCCTTAGAATTTACTACATACATATTTTGTTTTTAGTCCCTCTAAATTCATGTGGTTTTCTTATTTTAGAGGGACTAAGAACATCTTTAACCCTTAAAAAACAAGCATGTGGATATATGATTGAATGTTTTGTATAAATAAAGTGATCAAAGTTACATAATCCCTTTGTCCCCGAATTATCTTCACCTTTTCCTGGTTTGCCTGATCAAAAACTCACTCACTTATCTACTAAATAAATTTCAACCTCACAATTTTCATTTTTGTAAATCTCATGTCCATTCAAACTGGGTAACTAAAAAGGGAGGGAATGGAGTATTAGAATTTAAGGGTACAAAAGAAAGAGAAAATTGCATACCAAAAGTATTTAGATTGCACGTAACATCAAAATTCAAAACCATGTAAATAAACTTGAATTCTTGAAAAAAACCTTACCCTCAAACACTGGCCAAACACCATTGAAGTGTTGTTGATAAAATTACTTTCAAGCAACCTAGCCCCCTATATATAAATGCAGTTGTCGGTAAACTGTCATTTAAAAAAAAAGTATTGCAGCATATAACCATAAAGGAAACAGAAAATGCAATGAATTCAAATACAGCACGGTCTTTATTTCACTGGTTTCCAAAATATAAATCTGCCATGGCTTTGAACAACAGCAACAACATGCACAGGTAAGCCTCCATCTATCCCAAATCCCAATATAAACATCACTATTTTCTTGTTTCACTGTCACACAATGACCCTTACTTTCCTTCTAAAGAAAGAACTATAAGGTCGGCATGAGTACTTGCCTTTTTAAAATAAAATTCAACCGCACAATTTCATTTTCCCAATAAGGGTGAACCTTCCCATCATGTTGTTTATATAGGGATGGAGGGAGTATAATTGTATAAGAAAATAAAAAATACAAGTTATAACTTGATAAGATACCGAATAAAATATTCCTGCCTATGGAGTTTAATGAGTCTTCAAATTTTCAAGATTTAAAGCAATCAAGTAGTCTAGTGGACACCAGTCCACTAAGTTGTAGGGATTCCAGTGATACCTGATTTCCAGTCTTTTTTTCCCTCTCCGCCCCAGCAAGGTCGACTATTGTCAAGGTAGAGCCATTTGAATGTTCACCAACTTCCCCATCGCCCTTTTCGTGACCACAGCGAATGTTTATTATGCACTGAGACCGACTGAATGGATATAATAATAATAATGCAATGAAAGAACAATGTATGAATGCACATACACACATATCAACAAATCTAGTGTGCTAAAATGCTCAAAAACAAGATTATGTAGGAGTCAATCACCTAGACTGACTATTGGAATTGGTCATGGCTGTTGCACGCCTTAACAATCCATTGCCTATTATGGATTCAGCTTGCTGTATGTCACTAACTTTGGTCTGTAGCATTGCATAAAACAAATGTAGTTGTTTAGCATTAGAATAGAAATAAAATCCAAGCTAAAGAATAGAGAAGTCAGGTATAAAACCTCTTGCACGCCTCTAATAGATGTATGTTGAGTGCATAAATCAGTACCATCCAGTGATAAATCAATAATCTTTTCAGACTTCCCTTTCTCCGAACTAATTTCAAACATTGAGAGGTGGAAAATCCTGTCCAGGGCAGAACATGAAAATCTAAATAATTGTCCATGATAAATCCAGAAATGAAATATCCAGTTACTAAGTCTATAACAACATGCTTCAATGAGAGGAAGATCACTAGTGATGTGGCCTTTTTAATCCACGGTAGATTGTTTCCCTTAAAACAAACACACAAATTATTTTCTTTATAAGAAAAAGGCTCCACGTAACCAAAACATGATCTTCAAAAATAGTTCCAAACAACTAGACTTCCAATTGCATTAGTTCAGCATTACAGAACTTTGCAATAGGCAATAAAGAGTCCTTAATGTTTCAACTTTCAACACAAAACAGAACTAAATAAAAAGCTTTTGCATGATAAAAGATTCAACTGCCTAGAACAAGGTGCCATGAACATTTATATATATATAAAAAACAAGAACCTTGATGATATAGTCCTCCCGTCATTTTCTTCCGAGAACAGTTGCCGAAGTGCAAGTGTGACCATACCCGGGTCCTTCCCAGATCCAAATATTGTGTGGGTTTTCCCAGAGCCACTTGGGCCTAAAGCAGCCAGCATCCCACTCTTTCCACGAAGAAGATCATCAACCAGAGGATTAACCATTTTCTCATATACTTGCCTCTACAATGCAGTTCCATACATTTTGAATTTGATCAATCAATGATTCAATGACTTTTGTTTTTTGAAGATATTCAATGAATTTAAAAACTGATAAATAAGAAAAAGGGGGGAAAAAGACCTGAGAAGCCTCGGGAGAGAATACGTGAGAGAACCCTTCATAAACCTCTGATTTCGTGCGCTTGCTGTCTTGCAATTTCGCTGGCGGTACGAGCGTAACTGAGTGTGAATCGTTCGCCACTAAGCAAACTTTTCTGGGCGATTTTAGCTTCTTCTCCGAAATGGTCTTTTCTCTAGGGTTTTTTGGCCAAACATTCTTCGCGTGTAAAGTTCCAGCTCCAGCCTTCGCCCTTTTTCCGGCATGGTTCTGAATAACCGCCGGCCGGATTCTCAAATAGACCTTGAGATTCTCGGGAAGGCATTCTTCTGAAATTACTGGGTCAATCTTCGGCTGTTCTTCAACGTCAATCGACAGAATCTCTTGAACGGGGAAAGCGGGAATGTTGTCGCGATGAACTGGGCTTGGCTTGGGGAGTGATAGCGGGATGTTCGTCAATGGCGTATCCCGAACGCGGCGGCGAGGGTTCCGGCGAACTGTCACCGTCCTTGGACACGAGAGTGGGGTCGTCGCGGTATCTGTATTCTGCACCTCCATGCTTTAGAGCTTCCTTGGCCAGCAAACAAATTTCTGCAAAATTTGGGAAATAGAGGATTCAATCGAAGAAGAAGAGGAGAAAGAGAAAACCAGTTTCCCGCCCAAAACTTGGCATCCAACAGGCCACCAAAACTTGATATTGGGTATCATTTATGGGCCATAAAAATTGGTTTTTATATGTCCAGATACGGAGTAATTTCTTTTAATTGGAATCCTTTTTAAAATGTACTCACGGTTCAGAATGAATATTATGGTGAAAAAAATATTTTATTGATTTGAAATAAAGATTCAGAATGAATATTTATCAGGTATACATTATTCTGCGTACACGCGATGTACAGTATAGATCATATGACTCTTAAATACAAAGTATGTGAAAACTTAAATTATTTTTATTTGTGTAAAGTCTCTATATTTTGATTCTCATACATGAAGTACTCCTCATTTCATGAAGCTCAAGTGGTATAATAATAATAATAATGATAATAATTACTCCGTATAATAATAAAGGAAAGTCTCTCCATGACTCCATAGCAAGTTTTTAGATGTTTTTAGGTAATCTGGAGTATAATTATAAAAAAAGATGGGATTTATAAGTTATTTTTAGAAAATTAGGAGTACCTATTAGGAATTTTCGGAAAAAGTAAAATTGAATATGAGGGAAGTAAGGACGAAAGTTTCTCCGGAATGAGTTGCTCTATTTTTAAAGAAAAATTTGCACTAATAGGACTAAAACATAACTCATTTTTCAATGTAGGACTAAAACTTTTTTATTCTCAAAATATGACTTAATAATGTCTAATGAGAGAATTAATATCCAGTGATGCTGCACATTTACTTAAATAATGACTAATGGATATTAACCAATGCTCTTACTTTAAAAAATAAAAAAATATGATCCTATATTGAAAAAAAATTATTATTTTTTAATCCTAGGTAAATTCCACGTATGAAAAAAAAGAGGGGACCCGTAGCAATTTTTTTTATTTTTCTCTGGCACAGAAAGTTATTTCCATCCTCCATAGTAGTGAATAGTGATCTCTGAATATTCTGATTTCTACCTCCCTAAACCCAATGAATCTTTGATCCTCCCCAGATTCGGATCCACTAATCCACTCCAAAAGAGAGAGAAAAAAAGAATATGGTCATCGGAGATGCGGCGGCGAACGTGGTGCAGCTGGCCGGGCTCAGCGCCGGAGCACTAATCGGACTGATAGTGAGAGCGGCGAACAACGCCAGAATGCACAGAAACAACTGCAAGAAGTTCGCGCAGCACTTGAAGATGATCGGGAACCTTCTGGACCAGCTCAAGATCCGGGACCGCCCAGGCGACCAGACCCGGGAGCCATTGGAGGAGCTGGAAGATTCTCTGAGAAGGGCTTACGTTCTGGTGAAGAGCTGTGAAGAAAGGAGCTACCTTTACCTCATCGCCATGGGATGGAACATTGTTTATCAGTTCAGACGATCTCAGGAAGAGATTGATCGATACTTGAAGATCATTCCCCTCATTGCTCTTCTTGACAATGCTAAACTCAATGTATGTATGTATATATTGAACCCTATCTTTAGGTTTTTTGCTTGTGTGGGTTTTGTTCATTCTTGATTTCTGTTCCTAAATATCTGTCCATTTTTTGACAAATGTTTTTGTTCCATAATGATTTTGTGGTTTTAGAAATTCAATAAGATGTCTATTCTTTTCCACTTACTTTCATTTAAGTTCATCAAAATTACATTGTACTTTTGATTGGTTAAGGTTTAGTTCAATTCAGTCTATTCAATTACTTCATTCACTGAAGTTCAGTAAGTTCCAGTCTAAAAGACCATACTCGAAGAGAGTTGGGATCATGTGTTGTTATTATTGTTGTACATGTAGTCAATGTATAAGGAAAATTGTCACCTTTGATTGGTTTAAATGGTGTTGTTGATGTATAAAAAGGCAGTGTTATACCTAAACTACCCTTAAATCCTCAACCAACACTCTTGAAGTTGTGAATCTCATCTATACCCAAAATCTGTTGAAATTGCAGAGAAGGGTAGAAGAGATTGAGATGCACAAGTGTGAGTACACGTTAGAAGATGAAGACATGAAAGTGCAAGCTGCGATTTCGAATCCGCAGCCTTCAAGAAATGACAGAAACCTGTTGATCAAGAATCTGTCCCGTTCTTACCCAAACTTGCCTGTCAATGAAGCACTTGAGAGTGAGAGCAAGAAGCTCAAGGTTGAACTACAACAGTCACAAGCTAATATGGACCACAACGAATGCGAGGTCATGTAGAATTATGAAATTCTTATCCAAAACTAGTTGGCAGTGAGAGGAGTAACTCATATTCGTATATATTAATCTTTTGTTTTTTGATTTGGGTATTTGATGTGGGACTATCCTCAACAGGTTATTCAGCGCCTCATTGAGGTCACCGAGAATGTTTCAACTACTCTGAGATCTTCAGATTGTCCCAAGAACATCGAGAGTGACCCCAAGCTCAAAGAGACTCATACAACCGAAAGGTATATGGCTCCCCACACTCGCTCCACCCCCACCCACCCCCACCCCTCTTCAAACGTCGTCTTCTTTCATTTTCTCTGCAACAACTAAACAAGGAAGTTATATTGAAAGTTATTATTAGCATTTTCCTTTCTTCCATAATTTCTCAAACCAAACATAAAAATATCCCAATCTCTTGTTACTAACAAACTAGTTGTGTGTGTGTGTGTCTTAAGAGTTGTGGGAGGGCATGAATATGGATCAGCTAAGAGACCGAGTTGGCGGGAAGAATGGCACGCCGATCTACTTGGATGCTGTTCTGAGCCATCATTGTGTATGTCGGTACTTCCAGGCTAACTTTTCCTCAATATTTGGGGTTCATTGGGATCTATAAGCCCCCGTTTGGTTCGCTCTGGTACCCATATTTATTAATGATCAAGTAGAAGTAAGTTCTGCGTACACATACCAAGCCTTTTTTCCATGGGATTTTGATAGGTCTTGGGTTGATGTTGTAGGTGTGAAAACTTTCTTTTGGCCATGTGGAACTTTGTCAAAAGTTGCATCCGTAGCAACTGGGAAACAGACCAGTAAGTAATTCTTTACACACACACCCACACACATAATATACACGCACACATATATAGCAATAAATTAATGAAGCGATATAAAGGTGTTGTTTGGTGTGGGGTGAATTGTTGCAGCTTCAGGAGAAGCTTGTGGAGAAATAATGACATATTCTATATTCTTAGCGTGCTGCTGTTACACATCCTGCATCAGGGTAAAACTCCGTAGGGTTCTCAACATCAAGGTAAGGATTAATTGGAGTCTAGAACCTAAAGTCTCGAGTAGTAGTAGGAATCTTAACCAAAATCTGGGAAAAGTGGAGTCTAGAATCTAGATAATCAGGATATAAAGTTGAAAAAAGGTACTTATTTCGCTCATCCAAACGGAGCCCAGTGCGTGGGATTTTGATGCACAAGTTACATTTCTAACTTTTCCAGGGAGGCGCAGTTGACGACTTCTTTTCGCATGTGTTGTGTTGTTGTTGTGCACTTGTGCAAGAATGGCGGGAAGTCGAGATCCGAGGAGCTTATGGTACTTTTTTCCCCCTAAATGTTACAAAGAATTTGGGTGTCAGGACGTCCCAAGTGTCCAAATGGGGACGTTCCAGAGACTAGAAGCGTCACTTCACTTGTTTGAAGAATCCGTGCAACATAGATAAGATATGCATATTTATGACTATTTATTTCCTTGGGACAATTTATTTCTGCAGGACTAACAAAGAGTGGTATGATTCCTCCTCCATCTCAACACATGGGATACTAAAGATTGTTTGGCCTTAGCTACAACTTATTTGTGACGGTTTCACAGTAATTAAGAAACGAAACGAAAATTATCCAACATCTTCAAGTTTTCAATGTTACTCTCTTCAAGCAATTGTTCCTCTTCATGCATGAATTACACATTTAGAAGTTGATAAGGGTATATTAGTAGAAAAACATACTAGTTCGCATATCAATTTATGAAAAATCGTACATATGTCTTCATATTTTTCTTGATCCCATTGAAGTTGCCGGAACCAATAATGGTTTTGATGTTTTTGGCTTGGTGTAAAGCTAAAGGTTTTTAGTTCAGTGTTTTATTTAAGTTGGCTAGATATGTTTTAGCTATTCTCATTAGCACGGTGGCCTCAGAGTCAACATTTAGTGCAGGAACTCGACTTTTGGATTCATATCGTTCTAATTTATTTTCTGGCATGGTGGAAATCTTAATTCACGGAGGAGATTGGGTTTGACAACTTCTCGGGATCAAGAAACATAGGAAAACATATGTATGATTTTTTCATAATCTAGTGCCCAAACTTGTACGTTTCTCCATTAATATGCTTTTTATGAACTTCTCGACGTGTATTTCATGCCGGAAGAGGAACAACCGATTGAAGTCATGTCGAGAACTTGAAGATGCTGGAGAGCGTTCATTTCGGTTTTTCGCCACTCTCTTCTACTTCTCATGGATAAGTGGGTTTTTTGTGCATGTATGATAGAGAGTATGTTGAACTTCTTGATTAGCATCAAGACTACTCCTCAAGATCTTGTGAGATACTCACCTTCCAATAGTTAACACTAAAGTTTATTTTCTTTGTATAAATCTCACAATTACTCTCTCCGTCTCAATTTAAATATAATGTTTTGGCTTACGATGTTTGATTGAAATTGTTTCCAATATAATTTATTTTAGAATTGGAGAAGACTTAGAAAACAAAATTTATATATTAAAAAAATTACATCAAAAGCTCTATAAAATAACAAAAATACAAAAAAATAAATGAAGTTTGACTCTATAAATACTAAATAGTAAACATATAATTTAATTTAAGAATGGAGAGTACAATTAGTTTTTTTCCAGACTTCATGAAAAGTTAAATAAAAGTTTGATTTATAATGAAAAGAGTATTATGAGTGATGTGAGAACGTCTCTATCCCCTACAATGTCATGTCTGATTATGAATCCATAAAAACGTCTCTATCCCCTACAATGTCATGTCTGATTATGAATCCATAAAATATAACTAAAGTGTCACTCGTTGCGGGAGTAAAAAAATATGAGCATACCAAAATAGGAATTCTAAGTCTTTTAACACTATAACAGAAGTATAATGGCTGTGTGTTATAGGAATAAGCTTAGAAAGTGTGATGGAAAAATGATGATGATCTTATATGACAGTGTGATCATTCAACTATCAGCGGTCTGCGACGCGACACTCTAGTGGTTGGCGGTGACAAATGACACTGTGACAATGATGGTGTGGCAGTTGCAATGTGATAATATAGTGACTGTGACAGTGTAACAATAACAATGTAAAATTCTATTTTGGTCTTAAAAGACATTACTCATATTTTGGTATTTTCATAGCTTTCTATTCTTATCTACTCCCTCCGTCCTAATTTAAATCGTCTATTTTGACTTTTGGACATATTTAAGGAAAATAAAAAATAAAGTTGATTTTCCGAAATTGTCATTACTTTTTAGGAGGGGTGATAATGAATAAGAAGATAAGGTGAAGAAGAGTGACTTATTTTAGGGGTAGTTTAGGTATTTTATTTTTAAAAATTCACGAAAACAACTAACAGACAACTTATTTTGGGACGGAGAAAAAAGGCAAATAGACAATTTAAAATGGGACAGAGGAAGCAATAAGTTTTCCCTGCATCTAAGCCCATGGGGTCTCAGATCCAGGAATCTCTACGCAAGCGATTCTATAAATTACTTATGTCCTATTTTTTACGCAAAAACTAATTCATTCAGAAGAAAATAAATGTGCAAAACAATTAGGCGGGGGACAGTCCCAATACACTCTGGGTCGTAGCACACCTAGCAAGAGTATGAGTAATGCAATTACGAATCTCACGCATAGAATGCAAATCAATAAAAGTAAATCAAGATAAGAACTCAGAACATTCACTGAGAATGGAGCCTAGATAAGACTATAAGAGTAGCATTCGACTACCTATGTCGTATAGTTTTTATTTAATTTGACTTTTTTAGTTAAATTAGATATTCTATTTTCAATTAAACCAAAATTTTAATTGTGCATCAATTAAAAAATATTTTTATTATATCTAATGGACAATAAATCCAACGATACATTTTTATGTAATAAAAATATACTACCTACGTCCCTATTTTGATTACAAAATAGAAATTACGATGTAAAATCACACAATTTTAAAATCTTTTATTTACAAATTGCTACATCAATACAAAATAAAAGTTACAATGGAGATGACAAAAATTAAAAAACTACGGAGTACATATTAAAAAACTATATCTAAAGTTCTGCAAAATAAGTGATGACAAAAATTTGTTTGATCAAATAATCAATGAAAACACATGAATAAACAAAAGTTAACGAGAGTAGAAAGAAAATAAAATTGTAATCACAATGGAGACGGAGGGAGTATATGTGCAAAAGATGCGTCACCCTTTCATACATGCAAGTAATAATTTTTATTTTTTTAATGTGGGAACTCCAACAGAATGGAAAGAATAAGTAAGATTTTAGGAAGAGTGGTGCCATGGTGGAGTAGCAATGATATGAAGTTGATGGGAGGAGATGAATGTAGTCAAGAAGGTTGGAGAGTAGATAAGAAATATATGGTGGAGAAATGAGTCGTGTGCAGGTTGCTGTGTAAATTGGTATTTAAATAGTTATAGTTGTTTTCCTCTCAAATTAAATTGTCTATTTAGTATAAGCTATGTTAGGAATACACTAAGATGGATTGGAGTACTATATTTGTATACCAAGCTTTCGTAGATATACAAAGATACACAATGTCCCTGCCTGCACAAACATTGCGTGTCTGTCAAAGTATGGTGTACCAATGGAGTAACCATTTTGGTGTATCCCTAGTTTAATTCATCTACTATATATTCACATAATATAACTTTATTTAATTTCTTTTCTTATTTCTGGTGGTCATTTGATAAAATAATACGGAATATAAACATGTCAATACTAACTTTGTAGGTCTATTAATTTAATTTTTAAATATTCCCTCCGTCTTAAACTATCTTCTCGTTTGTGTTTACGAAGTTTGACCGACTTTATTTTTAATTCAATTTATTTGATTGTAGGTGTAAAATTTAAAAATAAAATTTATATACTTAAAAACTACATCAAAAGTTCTACATAACAAGTAGTGATATGATTATATTATTTTATCAAATAACTAACAAAAATAAATCAAGAAAGTGATTTAAATTTGACCATGTGAATAGTAACTGGGAAGATGGTTTTAGGACAGACTGACAGAGGGAGTGATATTTTTATTTTTCAATTCTATATTATTTTTTATATATAATGATTTGAAAAAATAATTTCAGTCATAAATTATAAATTAAAACATTCAATTTAAATTGAGACAAAGGAAATACTATTTCCGTCCCAGAGTATTTGTCCACTTTTATTTTTACACACCATCCAATACACTTCTTTAACTCATTTTATCTTGTAATTTGTATATTAAAAAATTATAGAAATTATATATTAATAATCTATATGTTAAAACAAATCAAACAAGATCACACATGACTATATTTAGGCTTACACATTGATAGAATTTGATGAGTCAAAGTGCTTAGATGAACAGTTCCAAAAGTCAAACTATCAAACTCGAACCTGATCTGATCGAACCGGGTCTATAATAGGGTGGAAAATATCTCGTGCAGATGGAGAGACACAACACTATGTACGGCCCACTCTACATCCAACAACTGCGTACAACAGCACTGCTGGCTGGGCCCCACTCTCTAACCAGTCGTCGCAAGGAATGTAAAATGCCAACTAGGCACAGTACATTCTCTTTTTACTACAGTTTTTCAATTTTTTTTACCTTCAACAAAAAAAAATTCCTTTTTTTAATAACCCCTTCTTCTTTAATTTTCTCCTCAAAATGTCAAACTCCTGCAGAGTTTTCTGTCCTTTTCTGGTTCTGGTGGCACTATGGGCGCAGAAGGAATCCCAACAGCCAGCAGCTGCAACACACGCAATTTACATAAATTAAATTTTTTTAAAAGATTATCACAATTTGATTTTTTAATCAAGCTATGTCCCCATTTGAGTGTAAATTATTGAAAAATACATTTAATTATAATATAATTATTTAATAAAATTGAGTTTATTTTAAAATATACTTTTGAAATATGAAATTTTTATAATATTTAAACATTTTAAAATATACTCATTTAATTTTTAATCAAAAGGTGACATAACTTGATTAAAAAAATCAAACTGTGAGAATCTTTAAATTCTATTTAAATAATGTTACTTATATACTGTACCATATTTGTAAAGCTCATTTTAAACACCCAAAATTTGCACTGAATAAAATGTTCATAAAACATTAGTCACAAAACAGGCCTAAATTATGCAAAAATTAGTCACAAACAGACCTAAATAGGGCAACAACAAAAGAATCAAATGTTCAGAAAATATTAGTCAAAAGCAGACCTAAATAAGGCAAAAATAAATTAATGTTTCCAAACAATTATCTTCATTTGATTGTTAGGGGGAGTATCAATTTGGTAACTGGTCCAAGCAAGGAAAAAGTCAGATCTATGAATTTAGTAACATGCCTAAATCAAGAAAGACCTAAAAGCTTGTTAAAAAAAACCAGACCAGATCTTCATTTGTCAAAAACAGTTTAAGAAAAATACTCCGTAATAAAGACTAAAACTCATTATTTTTTTCACAGTTTTACATCACAAAAGTCTTTAAAGAAATTAAATTACTATAAAAAATATTTAAATTATATTATTAATTATTATGATTAGCACACCTTGACCCTTTGCATCTTCAGCTTTTTATTCTCTTGCGTTAGATATTGTATCTTTATCTCCAAATCCGCTGTGTAGGCCTATATATACACACAATAATATTTTAATTATATTCTTGAAATAAAGAAAATATATTTGATGAGTCAAAAAAATGACATTAAAACTTAATTCGAAGGGGGGAAAAAGATTGTGGAGTACGATTTTTTTAGCTCGGGAACGGTCGGCGGATTCCCTGTTCTTAATCAAGCGTTGGTGGCGGCGCTCGGGATCGGAGCCGTCGTGGCTTACCGGCTTTCGTTTCCTGGCGAGCCGCGGCGGCGGCGGAGGGGCGGGTTGAGAGCCCAAGGAGACGGACGAGACCACGGCGGCCGGAGGGGAACTTGTGGATCCGCCGATTTCAGGGGGGAGAGGTAGAAATTCATGGAGCCCCGGTACGTGGGAGAAACCGGCGCCGGAGGGGAACGACGGGAGGTAGGTGGCGGCTGCGGCGGAGGAGTGGACGGGGGAGAGATTAATGCCTTTCCAGAAATCATCCATTTCCACCAAATCCCACCTTCTTGGGTATCACACTACTGTTGCAGTAGATCGGAATGATTTATCTGTAGTTCACTAGTTCTGTACGTGGAAATGCGGAATGTGATACTTTCCTATTTCACTTCAATATCTAGATTTAGAGTAAATTCCATAAAAGATCCCCAGTTATAGGTCGTTTTACATATTTAATCCCTACATATCAAATATTACTAATTTGGTCCCTAATTATTATATTTATTTCTACGAATGGTCCTTTGTTAACATTTTCATTAAAACGTGGATAAAATTATAAATTCACACTCCTTTCTCTCCTCAATTAAGCTTTCTCCTCCCTTGTACTCATTTCTCAAACCCGTCGCTGAGTTTCTAGCATTGAACCCTAAACCAAAATCATCACTCTTCTCTGAATTGTTTGTCTAACTGGAGGAACGATCATTTAAATTTTGGGTTTAAGAGCTTCAAACGCAGCGACGAGTTTGGGAAAGAGTATGAGAAGATGAAGAAAGCTTAATTGAGGAGATAGAGAAGTATGAATATACAATTTTATCCACGTTCTTAACGGAAATGTTAACAAAGGACCATTCGTAGAAATGAATATAATAATTGGGGATTAAATTAGTAATGTTTGATATGTAGAACTAAATATGTAAAACGACTTATAACTGGGGACCTTTTATATAATTTACTCCTAGATTTACCTTATTTTAATTTTTAAACCAGATACTGCTTTTTTAAAAGATGAGCCTCATCTTCGGGATAATCTTAGACCTGATCGAAAGATCACTAAGACAAGATAAATTAGATTTTGATTATAGATTGATTATGAAAAGTAAATCTGCATCCAGTACTTACAGAGGCTCTATAATTGCCATAGTTGCCTCTGCAGTTTTCAGAAATTAAATTCAGATTTACCACATGAAACTTTTCGCTTTTGCCAACTCTGCAATATCCACCGGCTCAGAACTCTCTTCTTTTGACATTGGAAGTTCATGTCACGAAATTGGATCTTATTGGAACATTTACGGTCCCTCGTTTGTAAAATTGACCGTTTTTACCTCACTCCTACTGCAATTCCTCTTCAATTGGATCACTTGAGTTTAGTTGACTTTCCATCAACTTTTTTTATCCTAAAGTACTAAACTTGTGTAAATCCTATTGAAAAGGTAGAGTGGTCAGTTCAGGTCGGACTGGTACGAAAGATTATAAGGGACAGAAACCATTAATTTTATAAAGCTTTTGATTTGGTTTATGCATATATATAAAAAATTTGTTCAAATTACTTGAATAAATATAATTTTAGTCAAATGTTGTAAACAAAAATGAATAACTTAAATTAAGGCGTGAAAAAATAATTATAACATCCTGGAGTACATGTTAAAATTTCTTACTCGATGGAGAAAGTACTGTATTTCATATTTGATTGGAAAGAGATATTTATACACCGAATATTATACCTCACTTTCTATCCCGAATACATGTACCAATATTTTGTGCTAGTGTGATGCTTTACAATGACAAAAAATGTCAGTACAATTTTTTTTTTGATTGAACTAACATTTGGTATCAATGTGAATTATTAAAACGGGTGAATAGACTTCTTGATGTTCACCAAACATGGTTGTATTTGATTATTTTAAAACAATGAGTCTCATCAGTGGATCGGACAAACGCGATAAAAATACCGTACAATGTCATAATACTTGGTCGAAAACGAAAACTAATTACTCGTATATATGTAAAGGGAAATAAAATTTTGCCAAATTGATTTAAAAAAATGACAAAGTGTGTTTTTTTTTTGTATTTTTTTTTTTGTTTGAGTAAATCCCAAACTGGTTCTAAATATGAAGTTATTAAGAAAAAGCAACAGCAAATAGCGAAGTTCATTCGCTTTGGACTCTAGAGAAGAGCTCGGGGTCATATGGTCAGGCCCAAAGAGCCAAAAAGATACGCCAAGAAGACAGTCAGGCGCAATGGGCCAAAAGGATAAGCCCAGAAGAAACTAGTGAAATCTTCTCCCATTACTCCTTTCGTTCTAGAGTATTCGTTTCGTTTGATTTTTTGAGTTAAACTGAATAAATTTTTAACACTTAATTACATTTCATTTGCATCACATATTAATATATAAAACAAACTTTTGATAATTTTCCGCAAGATAAATTTAATGGTTTTTTTGAACCAATATCCAATACATTTTTTATTTAAACGATGGACAAAATCTATCTAGCTTGACTCGTTAAAGTTAAATTAGATGAATACTCTGGGATAAACGTAGTATGTTCCGATAATGCTTTCACAAAAGTGTATTGGATTTACGGAATGTTCTTTCAGTTTGTATATTTCAATAATTTTATACTCCCTCCGTCCGGGAAAAAACTTCCCATTTGGACTTTTCTTTCATTTTTTTGAAGGGTTGACTATTGGTGTAGTTTCCCTAAAATGCCCTCCCTCTCCCTCCCCTCCTGACCAGCCCGACAATCACCGTCCCAACCATTGCCGCTAGTACCTCCTTTGCCGCCCGTCACACCAACACTCATTTCTCCTCACCATCGCCGATTCGCCGCCACTCCACTGCCGGCAGCCTCACCATCGGCGCCAGCCCCACCTGCACCGTGGTGCAGATCTAAAAGAAGATGAAGAAGAAAAAGACGAAGAAATGTAGATCTAGACTCACTGTCACCGTCGCCGTCGGTGTCACCGCCACAATCGCCGCCGCCATGCTCAGATCTAGAAGATGGAAGAGATATAAGAAGGGAGAGAAAAAGAAGGAAAAAAAGAGGGGGAGAAAAAGAAGGAAAAAAAGAGGGGGAGAAAGAAGAGAAGAAGAGGGGGACTGGGGGAGAAAGAAGAGATGAGATGTACGGGGAAGAGGAAGAGACAAAGAGAAAGAAGAAGAAGAAGAAGAAGAAGAAGAAGAAGAAAGAGAAGAAGAAAGAAAGAAAATCGATTGAGAAGAGAGAAAAGGGTGGGGGGACGAGACGGGTAGATCTAGGAAGGAAGTTTGAGAGGGTAAATGAAATTGAATGATAAGGGTATTTTTGGAAGAATTGTGGTTAAAATTAGAAATGGTAAGATTATTTTCGGACGGATGAAAAGGAGAAATGGGAAGATTATTTCCGGACGGAGGGAGTATTTAATTAGGAATACTGATCTCACTGATCAAATTTTAGATTTCAAGTTTTATTTTCGGGTACCAATTATCAATGTCAATCAAAAACTATATTTGACTTATAGGACATATTTTTTAAAAAAATTATTCCCATTATTCATATTTCACATTCTAGACTTTAGCATTGGGTTTATGTTCTAAATTTCAGCTATCAAGTTCTAGTTACTAGATTTCAGTTCCCATTTTTCGTGAAAATCTATTTTAGGCTTATAGTACAAAGTGCTGGAATATAATTAATCTAGGTTTGAAGTCTTTGTTACAAGTTTGTTAGAACCTTATTACTAGTCTCTAACTCACGCCTCTAGTTGAAATTGACGGAAAAGAACATGGTCATAGCATATATTTAGACCATGTTCTTTTCACCTGATCTGATTAAAATAAATTTTGATCTAATCTGATCTGAATATAATTATATTTAAATCTCACTACAAAAAAAACGCGGAATTTTGATCTATTTCTAATCTAAACTAGTTTGATCTGAATTGATTTGATTCCATTTATAATGGGTAAATAAATAATTTTTGAGTTGAATTAATTAATCAATTTAATTCAATATTTTAATATGATTCAACACTAATATCTTATGCGACATTTCATTGACCCTTATCTCATCCTAAATTTTATCAAGATGGTATCCTAACAACTTTTGGATCACCTAATTTGTCAATATGCATGGATAGACGTTTCTAGCAGCCATTATTGTTTTTAGCCTAGTTACATATCCAATGGCGTATGGCTCATTTAATCTCATTGTTCGCCTGGAAGTTCATCATATGCAGCAATTCGTAATCCTTTACTCAAATATATCCGTTAAAAGGGAATGTGAATTCATTTGAGAACTAGTTAGATTCAAAATTATCGCGTTATCCACTTGGAAGTGTTAGAGTCATAAATCGAAAGCTGAAGAGAAAAATTATGGGCATATAAGTTTTTGAGTTGGACTAAGTAAACATTTTATAAGGATTTACGTAATCAAAACTATGACGACATAATTTCCACAAAACAGGTAAGGACAAGAGTATTTTATTTAAGCAATGAAAACACAAAAATAAAAAAAGTTATCGTGAATTTAGAACAGTGCAGTATTGAGTGCATTGTTATTCTTTTTTGGAATAGAGCGAGTCCATATAAATGTATACATTTTAAATACGTTGTTGCCCCCTTAATATGGAAACCGGCAGTTTTGGTTCATTTTCGAAGCAACGGTTGCACAAATAGACCACACAAAAACGTTTCATATATAAATTCACATATACATGCATTGTGGTCCATTGGTACGGGGATGATGAGTGGATAAGAGCTCAAATACGTGTTAATTAATTAACTAATTATCATCGTACGTATGTATAAATCTGATTTTCAAAAAGCCAAAATGTTAATTATATTTGGGCTATTCAAACAAGCAAGCCATCAAATTGTTAGCCCACTTCCAAATAATTATATGATTGATTAATTATATTATTTATATATATTTAGTCGTGTGTTTTGTTTGTTATTCATAATTTGGAACAGCATGGCAATTTTGCTGGCTTAGAATGCCTACCCCCCTAACAAACATATTTGTCATTTTATGTTCCTCACTCCGTCTAGTGTGGACGGACGCCACCCGTCCCAAAACCGATATCCGAACCCCTACCGGACTCCGAGTACGGATTGGATATCGTGTTGGGGAATCGGGCCGCCTAGAATATGAATCACACGAAAACTCTGTATTTTTAAAAAAGAAAGGAAAATATAAATATCGAGACATTTAATTAATAAAGAAGGGGAGTTTATTTATCAAACAAATTTAGATCCTGTTCGAGAAAGATTAGTCGAATTTTGCTAAAGGTAAAAAGAAAAATAAATTTATCCTGGAAAAGATTATACTCCCTCCGTCCCTGAAAATATGGAAGGTTTTGATATTTAAAGGATTTAAGGACAGTTTATTTTGGTGTTGAGTTACAAAAATATCCTTATATGTGATGAGTAAAATTAAGATTTGATGAGTAGATTAATAGTGAATAGATGTATGTGACGTGATAGGTATATTAAAAATTAATAGGAACAAAAGTGACGGATGAAAAAAGAAGAGAAAGGTTTCCTGGACGTAGGGAGTATTTAGTTCGCTAGCTTGGCATTCGTTTTATATATATTCCGGAGTACTTTTTTTTAGTTCATATTTTTTTTAAGGCTTTTGAGTTCATATTTTGAAAATTTTTATATTCTCCCCTTAAAATTTCTCTTTACTCTACGGTTCAATATAATGAATCAAAATAAACCTTCTACGCAGTACTCCCTATATATACAACACAAGTAATAAACCAAATCATTCATTCATTCAAAAAAATAAAACCAAATATAAAGTTACACTTTTCGCATTTCTATTTTACGATAAAAAGATGTTGCTTTTACAATATTTTATTATTCTCAAAACCAATTCTCAACATTTACTTTTAAGTTTTTTTTACCATTTTATTTAAATTTCGTGAAGTAAAAAAAATAATTTATGGACGAACGGAGTAATAGTTTATTACTTTCATATAAAAATGACACTTTTTATTATATTTTCATTATTACATAGATAAATGTCAATTGATAAAGAAGTTATTTTACTCCGTATTTGTTTATTTTTTTTCCTGAGATAAACAAAAGCGCATTTTATGGAGAAAGGAGTAAATGCCAACTAAGCAAAACTTACGTGGCATAAACCGAGTCAATCTAGCGTTCCCACAATGCAAGAAATTCGGAGTTGGGCGGACACGTGACAAAAAAAGCGCGTAGAAAATTAAAAAAAGATTGTTAAATCGTCAGCGGAAAGCCAAGCTGGACAACAATTTGGCCACAAAAATTTCCCTTATAATCCTACACACACAAAAAGATTTACGCACGTAAAAAACGAACTTAATAAGGTACATTTAAGTATTTAAGGAATATATTTCGGTTAGATTTATTTTGAGATATAATATTAAAACAACATCTTTTCAAAATAATTCCTTTGTTTGAAATTAATTTCCACGAATATTGAGATCGAAAATGTTGAAGAAATAAATGTTGATGAATATTGAAAAAGACAAAAAAAAGATCATATATTCTTTTTCTAAAAAGAGTAAGAGAAAAAAATAAAAAAAAACAGAAAGTGCAAAAAAGAAAAAATTGTAGCCCCATCATTTATAAATATGCAAATATAGTTATTATTAATAAAAGATATATACTTATTCCGTCCCAAATTAAGATAATATAATGATGTTTGTCAAAGCTTGTTTCAATTCGTATAACTTTGATGTAAGGCAAATTTTTCAATTGACCTAAGGTCCGTGTTTATTTTATGAACTTTAGTTTATTTGTAATGTAAAAGAAGTGAGCCTTTTGTAAATATATAGAAAAATATCTACATGAAATCCCATAAAAAAGTGTGAGAAGGTCCACATTCTAAATGTGGACCTTGAGACCATGTAAGCACTATTCTAGATGTAATTCTTAAAAAAAATTCTTGAAATTTTTTTAGTCAAACATCATAAATCGAAACACGCAATATAAATTAGGACGGATTAAGTAAGGAGTATTAAATTGAAGGAAGTAATGATGGAGTAATATTACCTCTGTCCCCGAGTGTTTGTCTAGTTTTAACTTTTTTCGGTCAACTATTTTCAACATTTGACCTATAATTAAATAAAATTATTTTTGTATCAATATAATAAATCTTATAAAATTATTTTGAAAATATTTAATATAATAAATATTATAAAATTATTTGTGTATCAGTATATAATATCATGCATATTTATTTAATTTGAAGTCAAATTTTACTAAATTTTTACCGTAAAGTATTTAGCTTCTAGGGAGTAATAATTAGCACTCGATCTTTAGCTAGGTTGTTGCACTTTCCAAGCAACCAATATAATCCAATATAATATAATACAAAATATAAAGAAATATTTGGACTAAATAGCACTAAAACTTAAGTCATTTCTCTAAATAGCACTTATATTTTTTTATTCTCTAAATAGCACTCAATAGTGTCTATAATGTTCAATGATGATGAATATTTACTTGAATAATGACTAATGAATAATGACTAAAAGTGCTACATTAGGAAAAAAACGCATGTGATGCTATTTAGGAAAAGTCATTATGTTTTAATGCTATTTACGTAATTTCCTCAAATATAAAATGGAGTATAGATATTAATAATTACTCCCTCCGTCCCACCATATTCGTCCACATTTGACTTTTGGAATTGTTCATTTAAGTACTTTGACTCATCAAATTCTCTCAATGTGTAAGCCTAAATATAGTCATGTGTGATCTTGTTTGATTTGTCTTAACATATAGATTATTAATATATAATTTCTATAATTTTTTAATATACAAATTATAAGATAAAATGGATTAAAGAAGTGTATTGGATGATGTGTAAAAATGAAAGTAGACAAATACTCTGGGACGGAGGGAATATATTTCTACACATAAATAATAATAAATAAATAGAAAATAGGTACACATACACAGCATTGCCAGGTTGTTGTTGCTTTCACAACTTCTACGTATAGCTCAAACCCACCCTCTATATATACACCACGCACACCTCCCTCATTTTTATTTTTCAATTCATTATCACAACCAAATTATTTCTCCAATCATTCAATCTTCATCTTCATCATCATGCCTCTCTTCACCAAGCTTTCCAAGATCAAACAACCCCTTTCTTTCACAAATAATTCTTCATCAAGTAAGTATCAAGGGATTATATATAATCATATATATTTATGTTCTTTCTTGTTTTCTTTTTCTTCTGAAATTGTGTTCTTTTCTTTTTTAAAAGAAGAGATTATGAACTTCATATTCTGTCTATCTCTTCTAATTAAACAAATTTCGACACGTAACTCGAACTTTGTTTTAGATCGCGATATTTTACTTCTTTTGTTCAAAATATATATTTTACAAAAATGTGTTTCAAAATGCATATAATCAATATGAAGTGTTATAAATAATTAATCATAGTTCAAAAATGTTATTTGTGAACATTAATTATTATAATCAAGGTTTATTTTGTGATGATGGTTATGAGTTACGTATAAGCAACTCGTATCAAGGGTTAAAAACTATCACACTTCAATAAACATATTTTTTTTCTTGTAAATAAATTTATAATTATTCGATCACTTTGCTTTTTATTTTTAATGATTTGATTTGGCGAAGTAATTAAATTAAATAGAGTAAATCAAATTATTTTGTTTTGCAGGAAGGAATAATAATATGAATGTGAAAGAGGAAAGAGAGAGTAGCTTGAGGAACAAGGCACCAAGCGTGAACCACGAATACTTGGAAGCCTTTAGGACCAAATCTTACGTTGAAATCTACGACAAAGTCCAAACACAGCTTGCCACCGCCGCCACCACCGCCGGAGCCACCAGGAATAACAACAATAATAAAGAAGCAATCAGGAACAACTCCCTACAACACCCTCATTACCAGGAATGTGATCTCCTCCAGCTTTGCCAGGAAGCCCTAGCCGACGAGCTGCCACATCAGCAACCCTCCCCCCACCCCCTCCTCGACGAGTACTTCCACGTCAGCCTCGAGGCGTGCCGCACGTGCGAGTCCCTCCTCAAGAACGTCCTCCGCACCCGGACCGACTACAACCGGAACATCGCGACCGCGACCGCGGGGCCCACAGTCGACCCGGGCCCACAGTCGAGAAACCCCCTCTCGGGGGTCTCCCAGGTGCGGTTCAACGAGGCGCAGGACTGCCACTTCAGCTTGCTGCGCCGCCTGATATCCGCGCGCAGGAAGCTGAAGCGTAGGATCAGGCTCCTGGGGTTCCTGAAGAAAACTCTAGGGGTGGCCCTGGTCGTGGGGTACGCGGCCTTCGCCCTGGCCTCCGCGGCCGTCATCGCCGCCCACTGCGCGGTGGTGGGGCTCGCGCTGGCGGCGTCGGTTTCGTTATTCGGAGGGATTTCGAAGAAGGCGGCGGGCTCGAAGAACAAGAACAAGAGGACGAGGGCGTACGCGCGGCTCGACGCGGCGGCGAAGGGCGTTTACGTCCTCGTGAACGACTTCGACACGATGAGCCGGCTGGTGGGGCGGTTGTACGACGAGACGGAGCACAACCGCGCCATAGCCGAGCTGTGCGCGAGGAAGCAGAACGACGAGATGTTGAAGGAGGTGGTGAGGGATTTTGCGGCGCATGAAGGGTGGTTCTTGGAGCAGCTGAAGGAGCTTGAACAGCACATTTACTTGTGTTTCCTCAACATCATTAGGTCCAGAAGGATGGTTGCCCAAGAGATTATTAATTAGTTTTTTTTTAAATTAATTATGGGGTGTGGAAGTTTTTAATTACTTCTTTTAATCCATTAAAGACTTCGGTAATTTTCTGTATCTTTTGTACTTTTTTTTTTACATTGAAATTTGTAGAAGTACTCGTATGTTTTTGGACCTGTGTGATTAATGCAGGTTAATTAAATACGGAGTAATCAGTAATTAGTTTCCAATTCTTGACGAATTTATTATGATATTATCCAGGGAGAGGTTTGTATTTTTCTTTTTTAAGGTTAATTAGGGTACATTATTATTATTATTATTATTATTATTATTATTATTATTATACAACAATAATACGAGTAACATTATTTAACATATACTCGTGTCATTCCATAATCTTTTCATTCCATTTTTATTGGTCAATAGTTTTAAATTTTGACCTCGATATGCGAGAAAAATATATTGTATTTCAGTATAAGGAAAATATTTGTAGTTTTTCTTCTAAAAAGTAATTTAAGAATAGTAAATTTCTATATTAATAGTCTAAATGTTACATTAAACACAATGAAAAGTCAAACAAAAGGATTAAGTATGGATAGATATGATAGAGTATTTCTAAACAATATTGAAGATGTTAGAATGGTGTACAAATTAAAACCCATGACTTATAACTAAAACAAAAGGGTTAACGTTATGATATTTTTTTTTTTAAATGTGAAATGAAAATTAAATTGTTCCTTAGCTTAAATTGACAATTCCTTACTTAAACCATTTTTCTTTAGCCAAAAAACAAACATTTTTGTTATACTTTTTTTTTAAATTTCTGCCTAACAAATTTAGCTTGTACGTCTAGCTACGCGGTAGACAGTATTTATTGTGAGCTGTAATCCTCCCATTCCGCTATATAAATACGGAGTAATAATTTAACAAGAATAAAATAAAATAAAATAGATTAAAACGTGTTGATTTTTTTCCTTCTTTCTAACAAACTCCGTTTTTCAAAGTTACTCCAATACGATGTATAAGGTCATCTCCAATGGGATGCTCAAGTGAGATGCCTAGATGAGAGAGAATGAAATGTTAAGAGATACTACCATTGTAGGTAGGTGTTCAATAAAGATGCCCAATGAAGAAAGAGAAGGGAAGATGCTAGTTGAGCACCGATGTTCCAACTTGAAATTACTACTTCCTTTAATTACTTTAATATAGTGCTCCAATAGTTTATGTGCCATGTGTCATTTTTATATTTTATTTATTTCTTTCAATACACTTCTTTAATCCATTTTATCTTTTAATTTTTATATTAAAAAATTATTGAAATTATATATTAATAATCTATATGTTAAGACAAATTAAACAAGATCACACATGACTATATTTAGACTTACACATTGAGAGAATTTGATAAGTCAAAGTGCTTAGATGAGCAGTTCCAAAATTCAAAACTGGACGAATACTCCGGGACGGAGTGAGTAGCTTTTTCTTAGAATTAGATGGCAATTTTATCGTGTTCCAATTGCAATGACTTTTTTTAAAAAAAATTATTTTCCTATTCAGTATGACTATTGAGTGTTTTAATATAATTATACAAACCAATTGAGTATTGAGTGTTTTAATATAATTATAGAAACCAATTGAGTGTTTTAAAATAATTACACAAACAAATTGAGTGTTTTAAAATATAGTTTTTTTTCATTTATTACCGTGGTGTGTTGTTAGCAATGTATTAATAAAAACTTTAATTATTTAATACTCCCTCCATACCTAAATATTTACATACTATTTAAAAATTGCAAGAACTTTTATTTATTTGTGTATTTTTCTAGATTATTTGATTAAATAAAATATTCTTTTCACATCTTGTTTTATAGAACTTTTAATGTACTTTTTAAATATATAAATTTTATTTTTTATTTATATACCAATTTTTAAATAAAAAATTAAAGATTATTTTATTTATTTGGAAGTAGGACCCACTAAAATATGTAATACTCCCTCCGTCCCTAATTTGATTACAATTTTTTTTCTCTCTTCTCTCGATAAATTTTGTTTGTTTACGTGATTTCATCAAATATTTGATAAAATAAAATATTCTTGTCACCTCTTATTTTGTAGAACTTTTGACGTAGTTTTTTAATATGTAATTTTATAACTTATTGATATACCAATTTGTAAATAAAATGATTTCAAAAAGTAGAAAATTTTACTTCATAACCCGTAATTTGTAATCAAATTGGGGATGGAGGGAGTTAAACAAATGAATAGACATCTAAATGAGATGCCACCATTGGATGAGTTGGATGTTAAGAGAGATGTTAGAATAACATCTTTGAAGTGGGGCCCACATTTGGACATCTAATAAGAGATGCTACCACTGTGGATGCCCTAAGTATGATGATGCTTCCTTTACCGACATTGGTTTTTAATTAAAAAAACAATATCCCAAATAATCTCACATTCTCATGCTTTTCGAAAAATAATTCCATTTTTCATTGTTATAGAGAATAATCTTACCTTTCTTCATGTTTGTGAGTTTTGGTTCACCGTTAGAATGTTAACGGTTACTTAACGTAACTTTTGGAAAATGTTTATTTTTCGCAAATAAATTAAGGGTGAGATTATTTTAGGTAAATTCTTTTTTTTTTTTATTTTTTTATTTTTAAATATAAATTTAAATATTTTTGAAAATTATTTTATAAATAATACAAAATTTAATTATTTTTTTCTTGAGTGATATTTATTATTTTTTTCAATAATCGATAATCTGGTAATAATTGTTTTTTTCCAAAATGATATTGCAAAAGTTGTGAAATTGGACAATAAATTATTCTACATGTGAACTAATTTCATATTTCAAATGTGAATCTTAAGATGACACAAATGTTTTCCAATGTCTCAATGTTATTCCATTAAGATTTTATTTCCAAAACATAACATAAATGTCTAAAATTATATACCTTTGTTACTCGACAGAGTATTCGTTTAATTAAATTTTTTCGAATAAAATTAAACAAACTTTGGTCATCAATTAAATAATTTTTTTTAGAATTTAGAATTAAGATGATTTTACTCCGCATTACATTTATCTTACAAAAAATTATTAGAAATTTGTTCCACTATATTATTATTCAATGCAATTTTAATATAATTATATTAATGGTTTAGAATCATTTAATTTGACTTGAAAAAAATGATTGGACCAATATTTACGGAGTATGTTTTTTAAATCTATGTTTTTGAAATTACATACCCAAAGTCCTTTTTTTTTAATTTATGTTTTTTAAGTTTTTCAATGTCTCAATGTCAATAATGTTCCTACAACAACAAGTTAATAGAATCCCACATAAAAAAGTTTGAACCTTAATGACGTTCCATTGATATTTTAATGCCAAAAGATATATAGCTTCTTGTTGAGTTCTTTGATTATTTTACATGATTTTCAATGTTTCATTAATCTGTACAACACAACCTCTTGTTGCTTGATTATTTAGGTGACGAGAGATTGAGACTTGGTATTTGAGTTTGAGTTAGCAATCCATATAGAGTCAAATAAAAATCTCATCCACTGTTTGTATTAAAAAAACCCATTTTGTGCTATAAAAAAGAGCATTTTATGCTTCCAAAACGATTAAGTTTGAGGAGAGTGTATGCGCAGACTTTATTCTCAAAAGTACAAAGCCTGTTCCCAAGGGAATGAATGCTCTTTCCTCGGGAAAAAAACAAAATCTGTCGGAGTGTAGAAAAACATACATGGGTAAAAAATTGTCAAAATTTGTCGAGCGACATAAATATAGCTCTTCCAAATGGAATGTCACACATGCTTAAACCCTAATGGCGGAGATAACTCTCAGTGCTTCAATTGGTTGGAAAAGTATGTATAAACAGATACTACATTGTAACAGAATACTTAACACAAAAAAAAACTCGGCTTGTGAGCTTTTCCAGAAAATCCCCTCCACCTCAGAGTTCAGACTGTTCTCAGCTTGGTGAAATCTTCTTGTTCCAGCAAGGAAGGTTTGATCTTCGGCCAATCTGCTGGCCTTGGCATTATGATTGCAATGTACCCCTCCCTGTCCGCCTACAGAGTCCAAGGAAAAAATATATATAACGGAAACTCAACTATATAAAGGGTTAAACAACAGCTTATATACCTATCAATGGGTAACAAAAACATAACCATTATGTCAAGTATCACATATTTGTTGGCCATGTGTGCATCAATTGTCTTGTGGCGGAAGTCATGTAGGCCAAGTCACAATCGAACGACATGGGCGCTTGTGTGTGCTGAATGCACTATAAGGCTAGGCTTCTTCTAACACCAATTGGTTTTAGAAGAGTTGGTATCACTTGAGGTCCTACAAGTGGTATCGGAGCCAAGGTCACGAGTTCGATTCCTTACGGGTGCAATTGCTGAGGGGGAGATTGTTGGCTGTGGCCTGTGTGTGCATCAATTGTCCCGTGGCGGAGGCTATGTAGGCCAAGTCACAATCGAATGTCGTGGACGCTTGTGTGTGCTGAATGCACTATAAAGCTAGGGTATGCGCTTCTCCTAACACCAATTGGTTTTAGAAGAGTTGGTAGTGTCTGAGGTCCTACAATATCGTATGTCTATTAAGTAAGGAGTATGAGTTTAGGATCTATTTGATGAGCGCGGATCATATGAGATATCATAATCCTTTTGCAAGTGATTTGGTGAAGCCTAAATGTAGTTGGGATTTGGCATCACAACCTTTCAAAAAAAAAAAGCATTTCAGATTTCAAAACCAATATCATCTCAAAATGCATATATCAGATCATATCAACGTGTTTTGCTAACCAAATGGAGCCTATACCAATATGCAATGTCTAATTAACAATGGACAAATGGAAGTCATTCTGCAAAACATAACCACACAATACCAAAAACAAAGAGCAATGAATTATGTAGAAAGCAATTCAAAAGAACAAATTAGTAAGTGTACATGGTCAAGCTTTCATACCGATGACATCAACAATTCCGGATGTTCAATCAATCTGTCATTGACTTCCAAGAGAGAGCCTTTCACACAGCATCTGACGAAATACAAATATTGAAACAAACAAATAAATATATCACACTCTAGCAAAAAACAAGAAGTATTGAAATCTCAATTAAGAAAAAAGGCAACATGACCCCCTACCTGACAATGTATGAAGTTTCCTTAGTGCACACTTTGCACAATGCTGAATTGGGCTCTAATTGTTGCGCATTCTGCAATAGATTGCTCGAAAATGGATTTTTATCAATTCAAGACCCGAACGATAGGTTATATACAAGTTGAGGATATATCACAAACATGGAAGCCATCTACCCAAAACTAAAATTCATGATTTCATTTCAATTCTCTTTGTTTTCTACTTTTCTTATATTATTTTAAATAAATTCTTAATTAAATCTAATATAGAATCATTGAAGGATTTTTCATTGAAAATTAACATAAGGATTATCAAAGTATAGAAACATAAAAACTGATAGTTTCAATCATTCAAGTCATAGATTGATGGTTGTGATCTGCTAGATCCTTGATTGATAGCTAACCTATCTTTCGGTATCCATTGCCAATGAAGCTAAATGTGTCATTTTTTGACACTTTTCTCTTAGAATAAATAATGGACTATACAAAAGATACTCATAATTTGCACTTCAATGTTACCTTCTTTCGCTTTCCAGTGACTTTAATTCCACTGCGATCAGACTTCCCCACATTGAAATCCACAGAAGTAATTCCACCCTCGTCCTTGAAGGCAACATGAGTTGAAGCTAGCCCAATCACGCATAGCCTTCATTCAATAAAGATTAAATTCAGCTAACCATTCTCATTGATAACATAACAGCCCAAGCCCTAGATATGAATATATGATTACCCGTTGGGATGACGACGAACATATTGATCATGTCCAGGTTTCATAAAATCTGCAAACAAAAACCATTCAACTGAAAATAAAATCCTCAAACAATTAAGCATCACAAAGAATTTGGTTTTCATAACCTAATCGGAGGAGTACCAAGATTCAATCACTCACTTAAGTTAACATGCCTTGAAATCATCACCATAGGTCATCCGAAAAGTTCAACCCGGCAAATATTACTAACACATGCTTCCATTTATAACTTTGATATGTTTTCTTAAATTAAATTTAGAAATAAGTCATACTTTAAGTAAACAGATTATCTTTAGTAAACAAGTTGTACTTTTTTTCAGAACACACATTGGTTTTTTTAAAAAAAAAATTGAAGCATAATGTAATTTATAGTTTATAATCAAATCTGAGGGTTCAGTCTTAAAGATGGATCTAAAAAATAGGATTTTTCAGAAGAATGGCTTTTTTGACAAATCACAGAGTGAAGAAGAATTGGGAAAAGGGTATACATTCGTACCGGGAGCATAGTAGGTGGTGAAGTTGGATTCGACTGCAGATGGAGGAACAGCGGGGAGGTCTTCTATCCTTGGCATCAAAAGTCTCCGCAATTCCTCGTCTTCTTCGTTGATTTCAGCTCTGGAACATTCAGAGGCACTAACAGAGGAGGAAGAACATTCCCTCAGTGTTTGATTGACATTTTCTTGGTCTGCGTCTACGATGCCATTCGTATCTGTTGTGGCTTGCAGATCTGCCATTCCCAATTCTTGGTCTGCGTGCTTCGACTTTTTATGGTTTCCAATGCAACACTTTATCCATAAATATCTATATTTATGCATAAATAAATAATGTGAAAATAGGGCATTTTAATACTACATTTCAAAATGATATCAAGTTTGCATTACAATTCAATGTAGTTTTTCAGCATAATGGGAAGAAACAATTAGGACGAAGGGGCCAACGGGAAGCGAATCTTAAGTCATAAACCAAAACCTCAATGGACTTTCAAATTTCAAACACAATGTTCTTGAAATAATTTAGGGATTTTTCATAGGCTAAAAAAACCAATATCAAATAAATCCAGTATAAAGGAACAATCCAAACAGAGGGACAAGCCGAGATAAAAGTCCAATCAAACACTACAAAATTCGTATAAAAGATATCAATTTTAACAATAAAGTATGATAACAAAATCACAATTTCACACAACTGCAAAGCCCAGTATACAAAGCAATTCACATAATCGAATATCGATTTCATAAGAATTTCTAATTGAAAATTACATTCATTTCAAAATCAATTTCATTCAATTATTCAAATTTCAGTAACACAGAAAATAATAAATGACATACGCATATATGCATTACTCAAATTTCATTCAATTATCCGCAGTGAAAATCGGCAGAGGATAAACAAAAAAAGGCAGGAACGGCACCAGTTACCACCTTTTATACGGTGGCGCGGTGCTGGTGAGTAAAGCTGGGCTCTGAGCAGTTGCGGTGGCGCACCGGACAGTGACACCGGCCGACCGTCACCTCTGGGGTTTGCTCGTATTTACAAACTGCTATTGTTTGTTTTTAAAATACGGAGTATATTTTTTCTTTGTACTCGTTCGGTCTCACAACAAAACCTTAGTTACTCTGTACTATTTAAAGATCAAATGAATTTTATTTCCTTTATATATATTGCTTGATCATTTGATAAAATAAAATAATTTTACTATCATATGTTATGTACTCCCTATGTCCCAATTTGAATTGCTTATTTTCGGTCATAATGTTTGACTAAAAAATTTTTTTTCAAATTTTTTGATATAAAAAATAATATAGAATAAAAAATAAAAATTACATATTTGAAAATTATATTAAAAAATCTACAAAACTAGTGGTGACGTTATTATATCATTTTATCAAATGACTAACGAAAATAGAGATATAAAGTGAATAAAACTTGACATGTGAATTGATAAACATGTAATTAAAAAAATTTGATGTTATTAAAGAATATCTCAAAGAAACTCCCTCCTATTGATATGTGATTTCACAATCTTACAAGATTTGATTATAAAAATCTAGCATTATATTTAATTATGAAAGTACAGAATCTGGGAAAAGTGTGAGCACACAGACTTTATAAGTAAAAAAAGCAGAGGATTATAAGAAAAGTGTGATCACACAGACTTTATAAGGAAAAATGTGAGCACGCATACATTATAAAAATCTGGCATTATATTTAATTATGAAAGTACAAAATCTGGGAAAAGTGTGAGCACACAAACTTTATAAGTAAAAAAAAGCAGAGGATTAAAGAGGAATGGAGAACAAATCACTTGTCTTAAATCTTAATCAAGGCAGTAAAAGTTTCCCACAATCAAAATCAGCCATACTCAGAGCAATCCTCAATGTGTAATGAACCAAGAAATTATCCCTCAAGTAGCTAATCACTTTGTTATTACTCTCTTGAATGAAACCCATCAAGTAAGCAGTAGAGATTAGCACAAAGCTTCTCCACCTCCTCTCCTTTTTGTACTTCTCAAGGCTCTCTTTAATCCTTGTGAACACCTCACCATCGTTGTCGTCTCTTTGGTTTTCCGAAAATGTCCTTCCGAGGCACCGGGCAAGGACAACACTGTCTTCTAGGGCAGAGCACCCGCCCTGCCCGAGGTCGGGTGTCATCGGATGAAGGGCATCTCCGGCCACACAAACGTTGCCCCGGGCAATGTCTCCCAGCAGAACATTCCATGGCAGTCTCAGCTTTAGCCTGGCATTGGAGATGAAGCCCAGTGGGGTCCTCTCCAGAATATCGGTCACCTCTTTCGACACGTCCCTAGTCTTGCTTAAGACGAACTCCTTCAGTTTGATCGGATCGTGTTCGTCCCTTTGATCGACTGCAATAGTAAAACTGTAACACGCTCGTATTTTTATTGTGCTTTTATGACATGTGAGAAGGTCCAAGATGCACCTTATGTGCATGATAGAAACACTCTTGGAAGCTGTTAGAATATAAAAAACATTTCCTGAGCCACAACCACAAGCTTGAGCTCTTTGGTTGAGTTGGTTCCTTGACATGGTATCGGAGCCTTGTTGACTAAGAAGTCACGCGTTCGAAACTCAGCGCCACTCAGTTTTAAAAAATTAAGGTTTCACGTGCGAAGCTCAAAAAAAGATTACGCTTGCACGTGAGGGGACGTGTTAGAATATAAAAAACATTTCCTGGGCCACAACCCACAACCTTAAGCTTTTGGTTGAGTTGGTTCCTTGACAGAAGCAATTTAGTTTAGTTTGCTTACAATGGGAAATGGAGGATTGGTTATAAGTGCAAAACCAATACAAGCCCTTCTCATCACAAGGAAGGAAACCAAAGCGGACACCCCCTCCGAAAAAGGCGTAGAATTTTGGTTCGTACCCGTGCGTCTCGGGATACTCAACGAATCCTCTGATCGCAGACCTCTTGGAATCAACCACACACTGTAGTCCCAACCACTTGGAAACAATTGAGTTCACCCCATCACACCCAATTAACACCTTCAAGAAACAAAAAAAAACATTAAGCTACGTTAAGTTTTCACTCATAAAAAGTTAAAATAGAATTCAGACACAAGCTTGAGTTTTTGAGTGAACCGTTTACCTTTGTTTTGATAACGGATCCGTCAGAGAGATGAACCAATTTGAACGGTCCAGATTCTTCAATCATAACAACCTTTGAAGAGTACCTTATGGTTCCTTGGGGCAGTTCTTTGTTCAATGTCTCCAGCAACAATTTCCTTCTCAAGCACCGACTTTCGAAACTCCTATTTGGCGCAAGAAAAGAAAATCTATGGATTCAGTGCCCATCTAGCGACAGATTATGAGTTTTGAAAAGGCTATCAAATGGCAAACATTTACCAAACAAACACTTATGTCTCAGTATAACTCACTCACCGGTTCTTGTGTAGCTGCAGCGGAACAGCAGCAGTAGGAAGGCCAGAATCTGCAGAAAAAACTTGAAACCTGCTCGCAGATCAATAAATCAACAGTGTTTGTTCATATTTAAGTTAATCAACAACAACAAAAACAACAACAAATATACTAAAATTCCCCCAAAAGTAGGGTATGTGAAGGTGTTTGTAGGCAGACCTTACCTCTACTCGAAACAAAGTACACGCAGTAGCATGCACAACTCAAAGTAACACTCCCCGCGTCACATATCTTTCTGCCCATTTTGACTTTACATTTTTAAACTTTGACCACAAATTACGAAAAAAATACATTAAATTATAACATAAATTTAACATCAATAGATTCGTTTTGAAACGTAGTTTTGAAATATCATATTTTTATAATATAAGTTCATAATAAATAGAGATATTCATAGTGAAAGTGTTGCATTGAAGACCGTGAAAAATCAAATGGGGAGAAGGGGGTAGCATGGAGACTATTCACACAAATCATAACTAAAAACTCTTGGGTCAACCAAACAACAATGTTTGTTCATATATTCATGCAAGTCATTTTGCAACAAAAAGAAGAAGAAGAAGATAGGGAACTAACTCGTTGTTTTGAAGAGAGTGTTGTCTGAGATGATCTCCAATGCCGAGAGCGTCGAGGGCCCTCCACGCATTGGTCCATAAAGAAAGGGCAAAGCCAGTGTTCCTTAAGCACTCTGATGATTCCAACACTAAGCTCCTTAACCCCTCCCTAATCCAAGATCATCAATCATATTAGTTAAATGCAATATATGATAAGGAGTACATAAGTACATTGATACAGTTAGGATCAGCTAGGAATAATAAAAAAAATCTAAGTAAAGAAAATAGGGAGTACAATAAAGTAGAAAGTTTAAACTTAAGGCTCCGTTTGGTATACAGAATTCAAACTATGGAATTGGAATTGAGGACAATGCCAGAAATGAATTGAATTGAAGAATTTAATTCAATCCAAATCAATTCAATAGAATTTCAACTCCCAATTCAATTCCATTTTCGTCAATTCCGTGTACCGAATTATTGTCTCCAATTTCATAGTTTGAATTCTGTGTACCAAACAGAGCCCAAGTAAAATTAAAACTTTTGAAGCTGTTAGAATTATTCAGCTATTGTTTTATGAGTATTTAAAAGCATTTGCAAAACTTTGGCTTGGGTTTTTTTTGTTTAATTGGTTTTTTATATGGTATCGGAACCTTGTTAATCTTTAATTTCTGGTTAAATTAGTTCATTGACAGAAGCAAATGATTGGAAAAAGAACAACAAAATTTGGGTTTTTTTCAAGCTTAGTGTAATCAAACACTTCGAAATTTCCCAAATCTAACATATAATCACACGGCTGAAACAAACAACAGGGGTTGATTGCCGGAATTTGCCGGCGGCGGACATCGGAGCACGGAATCAAACCGCCAACACAAACATCAATTGACAGTAATTAACGAAAACAACATAAACCTGTGAAGTCCGAGGGCAGTAGCGAGACCAGAAATACCAGCTCCCACAATCACTATATCCTCTCTTATCTCCCCCATTTTTTTTTTTTGCGTGGAATTTAATTAGATTATTACAGTATTATTTTTCGTTGGATAATGAGGAGAATAATATGGAAGATGTCTTTTTCTATATACTGAATACTGTGTGTGTATATATAAATGGAAGACTTTGCCTTGCCTCTTGGGCATACATTTTTTCTAATAGAGACTAGTGTTAGCGTTTTGAAAAAAATATCTGTTTAACGTTTTAAAAGATTATCTAACGGTAGTCTTTAGCGTTAGTGTTTTTAGAATCAATATACACCATTAAAATTTTATTCAAAACGCTAATATCACTCGAAATGGTTATTCCCAAACAATATCAAATACTGGTAGTAATCTTATTTGTTCTTGAGTATTTGATTAGTTTTAAATTTTTACAAATTACTCTTTTCAATCTTAGAATTTCAATTCCCAAACAAATAACAATATATTTTCGTATATGAACATTTGTTCTATTTTGATTTTTTACAATAACTATTTTATTGTGTAGGATGGTTTTATAAAATGACATGATCTAAAAACGTTTGTCTATATATATGTACATACCTCATCATTTTGCATGGTCGCCCGCCATTGTTGAAGAATGGGCGCATTATTTTTATAGTTATTATCCGTTTGTGCCATATTTTTCAATACTTGGTGCCCTTGACTTACTCTTTTTTGCAAAAAAAAAAAAAAAAAAAAAAAATTCTACCTCAATGAAACCAGGGTCTTGTTCTACCCAATCCATTATTTCATCCATCCCAAAACAAAATTAAATTTGATTAGTTATGTCTAACTGAACTACTTAATTTGATTTTATTATTTTTAATTTAGTAGAAATATATTATAAAATCTATACATACAAAAAACTTACGAATCAGAATTCTACAAAATGAACGGTGACATAACAATATTGTTATTTTGTTAAAATATCAACAAAATTATGCAAATAAAACAAGAAGTCCATTATATAATAATCCAACCTAAGATTTATACCATTTTAGATGAACGTTTATACGAGATTGGTATGCAAATTCTTACTATTCTCATTAGCTTGTTGAGTAAAATTTAATAATGATTTTTTTATAACAAGAGGTTTTATATTTAGTCTTTTATTATCAAATATTACGATGGTGATCTTTCTTTTAAGGATACCTTTTCACAGATAGTTTTTTTTGACCTTCTGTTATGTTGGTGTTAATTTGAGAGCTAAAATTTTAATTTCACATCAACCTATATCTAATGACATATTCTGATGTTGGCTTAACATGTAATTCAAAAATAATAACTATGATTGTGGATTAACACTCCAACCAGAGACAACATATGAAGACTATGGTTGTAGTAAACAACGACTCCAATTAGACAAACAATAAAACTTCTGCATAAAATATGACAAGAGAAATATATGGTTGTTGTGAAATTATACTTTTAAATCTGAATAATAACACTATTAAAAGTCATAAAAAGAACTCCGTGAAAATATACCCATAAAAGAACCACAAACATTATATTTGATAATAGAAGACCAAGTATTAAAAATCCAATATTATAAAGAATCAATTATGAAATTTACTAACTTTTTTACTACATTAGAAAAGAAAAAAAAAGAAAATCCTTATGTCAATTTTTTTTAAACCTTATTGTAAATATGTTTGTACTCGAATGAACAAGGTAACAAATGAACATCTTCATAAGATGGTCACATAAATGAACACCCTAATAAGCTAATTTGACCATCTTAGAGATAAGCTAATTTGCCTAAAATAAACAAATACACTAAGACAAAAAAACAATTGATAGTAGATCGCAATTATGAACACTCCATCGAGCAATATAAAAGCCATAAATTGGAAAACAAGTCGACCATGGAATAAATTAAAGAATGCTTGCTTGCCCACTAGTCCAATTTTTTTCATAACTTTTAACAAGAAAATAAAAACGGAACTACTTCCTATGCTTACTAAATTATAGTGATTGAAAAGGAATACAAAAAGGCTCACCACAAAGAGGTGGAAACGGAATGTTCTAAAAATTAGTCTACAAAGCATTTCATGGACTTCTTTTTTTCTGGTAAACCCTAGAGAGTTATATTAATTAACACTGGCAGACAAAACAAATCAGGTGGAAGAAGAACCCATAAAAACAGAGAGGATAACAAAGGAAACCGAGCAGGCAAACTCTTTATGGAACGAGGGGCACACGACTTCTTCTCTTTCAAAAGCTTAGGCATCGGCATTATGGTTCACCGGTCCATTGTTATTAGATCTGTAGTTGCCGCCGCCGCCCCCACCACGGCCTCTCCCACGAGATGGTCCCCTAAAGCGACCACCGCGCCCTGCAAACAACGTTTACCAGTCAGTATTATTATCTACTCAGTCATAAACCCCTAGCAGCACAACACCAATACAAAGAAAAAGATGTAATGATGTTTATTATTATTATTATTATTATTATTATTATTATTATGGTAGTAATAAAAATAATAATAACATACCTCTCCCACCATCCTGAGGAGCATCATACTGAGTGTTGTTGTAACCAGCGCCACCCCTTCCACGTCCCCCGCGGCCTTGAGCATGAGCATCGGGATTGTAGCCACCATCTTGTGGTGCATCATAGTGAGAGTTGTTGTAACCACCCCTTCCACGTCCACGGACTGGGGGAGCTTCATGATAGTATCCACCATCGTGCTGGTCATCATACTGAGAGTTGTTGTAACCACCCCTCCCACGTCCACGATTGTCGTGATATCCAAAATCTTGCTGCGGGGAGGAAGCGTACTGAGAGTTGTTGTAACCAGCCCTCCCACGTCCACGGCCTGGAGGAGCCTCTTGATGGTAGCCACCATCTTGCATAGTTGAATCATATTGAGAGTTGTAATTACCACCACCGCCACCCCTTCCACGTCCACCACGGAAATAGCGGCCCCTACCTCTGCCCCTTCCTCTACCATAGTTGCGGGGTCTATCATAGCCACCATCTTCATACTCACCACCCATATAGCCATTTCCTACAACAAGCCTCACATGTAAGATCTAAAACTGGACAAAGAAGGCAGGCATTAAACTATTGGATGACAGATCACTAAACTTTGCACCAAATTGCTCATCAACTTTTTATTGGACCAACTAAGTCTTCCACCGTAAAAAGTTGCAGTCAATTCTGATTTCATGAAATTTTAGTTCTAAGTTCATACCCAACTTCACACTCAATTTGGCATCATTTGCATTGCTTGCACCCAATTTACTACCTCAGCATATAGATATACCCATATACCCATTTTAATAAAAGATAAACACACATGATAACAAAATTGGGTCAAACTTGTGTCGTAAAAGACAGCATCGAGTGTGCATCAATCACATATTGACCCCTAAATCTATCAAATAATTCAAGTGTATACTAGAATATCAGTCAAAGCATAATATAAACATCTTTGTAACAAGAGATGATAATCAAAACGCATACCATACTGAGCCCTAGACCTTCCCCTTCCTCTACCACCTTGACCTCTTCCACGCATATTAGGTGATCCTTCTGAAAGAACATAAAAAATAAGTAATTCTTCTTCTGTCCCAAAATAAACTTCCCTCTTTCCTTTTAAGTCATGCCAAAATCTCATTCATTTAAGGAAAGCATTAAATACTTCACACTATTTTTCTCTCACCTCACAAATCTTGACAACCCAATTTGAACTCCATGAAAAAGCAAACAAGGACTTTGATTTGGGACATGGAGTGGAAAATAATATCTAATATAACACAGGTCACAGTAAGTTGCAAACACGACATTACCTCCTTCATATTCAATCTCTGTGAAAACCTTCACCTGATCTGCAGGTATAGGTGGCTGATACCTGTGTAACCACAAAATGGCATATGAGAATTACGAATTCGAAGTGAGTGCTCTTAGTTTTGACTCAAGGATTTCATTGACCACCAAAGCACTTAACACTTACCCAACAGCCTTTGTATCAAGCTCCTTCTTAGATAGAGAAATTGTTATCATTGAAACATGCCTCGTGCTTTCCAATCTGCATGCAAAGAAACATAAGAGACAAAGCTACAGCGGCAAAATCCTAGCGTGAAACAGAGATCAAAATGTTCTTACGGAAGGAGGCCTTCTTCCAGTGGCTCATACGTATCGGTGATGCCAGTGGATGTAATGGATGTAAGCTGATGAAGACCAACAATCCTCCTCTACATAATTACAATTTTAAAAGGACTCAAACAAAAAATCAGGATAGAAACCATAATTAATAGCAGTAACAAAAATAAGATTGCTATGATCCCAAAAGAAACTAATTGACAACCTTAATAAGTTCCACCATGGTAACAGTTTTATTGATTGCTCTACCCATGGCCTTGAACACAATCTCATCAGCTCCTTTTTCCTACATTAAAAAAAACCATTCAATAAATCAGAAACTGAACCCTCTATGAACTCAATGTAAAACCTGTATTGCAAAAAAACTGTGGTATTATCAATGTATCATTTCAAAACACATCTATAAGTATATCTGGTGACAATGATGTAAAGACAAAACAAGTAAAATTTAAGATCCTATGAGCAAATAATTAAAAAGGTATATATAGTTCAGGAGAGCATAACCACTGTCTAGTCAGGGGATATAGTTGTCCCAAACAACCACATTTAAAGCAACTATCCAGTTTCTTACTTGAGTTGGTCTTTCTAAAGGCACAAACACTACCTTCAACTTAAATTTTCCCATTCAGTGCGGATTGGTAATCAGAAAGGTGGAACACAAATTTTATACCAATATCTCAGATTGCAAGAAACGAAAACACCAAAATTTTCAACAACAGAACTGGAATGAACATAAACTACGTGTGCGTTGAGCACACAAGCTTTCGGCATAAACGAGCAATTTGTACCTGAAGAAGAGTCATAGCATAGGTGATGTAGCTTCTCATCCTTCCTTGGCTAGTGATCCGAATCTCATTCTCATCAATGGGTGTTACTTCCCTGGGCTTCTCGACTTTCTGGTACCGATCCATCTGTCTACAACCAACGCAACAAGCAAAACAGACTACCTTAAAACCGCAATATTCGGATAAATCGCACTTCAATCAAAACACATCGCATCGCGAAACAAGACAGTCTCTCCCAAACTGAGATTGAAATCGAAAACAAATCGCGGAATCAATCAGTCAAACTACCTAGGGTTCTTCAAATCGAGTTAGGGTTTTTTTTCATTCAATTCAACGCTAAAGCGAAACAAAATCCAAAATCGATGCCGAGATCTGAAGAACTTCGAATCATAATCCGTAGACAGATTACCTGTGGATTGAATGAGGATTGGATTTGGGATCGAAACAGAAATAGCGTCCGGTTCACGAGAGATGAGCCCTCTTCTTCTCCTTCTTCGGCTTCGTTTCTTCTTTTACGCCCTGGCCGCTTTTTAGCGCGACGTCGCAAGTATTTATAGCCGGTTCGCGAAGCTGCCCTAACTCTATTCAACCGGTTAACCGGGCGATCATATAGCCTCCATTATCTACCCGTAATACAAGGCTCTGTTTGGATGGAACCGTTTTCAGAACATACCACTTCTCATGAAAACACCATTTTTCAAATAAAAAAAGATAATAACTAAAATCAATCAATCAATCAATCAAATGAGCAAATAAAAATACTCCCTCTGTCCCCAATATGATTACAAATTGCGGGTTACGGAGTAAAATTTTCTACTTTTTGAAATCATTTTATTTACAAAACGGTATATCAATAATGATGGTGTAAATTACTTGACCGGTCAAACTATACTAGACCGGGTCCAGAATAGTTGGCTTGATTCAGTAAAGTAAAGAAGGTAAAAACACTCGGAATGACCGGTAGGACTTTAGGTGGAACACCTGTAGCCCGAATTGTATTAAAACAAAGAATGCACGGTCACTTTTACAAGAGAGTTTAGAGAGAGTGAATTCGGATCCCTTTCTCCGAGAATTACAAGAGGTATATATACTAGGCTAGGGGGGCAGGACCACGTGCGCCCACGTGGGGGCATGCTGCTGGCGTGGTGTGAGGTGACTGGCTCTGAGCTGCCTTGTCATCTTGCGAGGGGGGTTGCGCCCTTGTCGTGTTCTGGCTTGGAAATGTTCCTTCGGCATCTCTGCAATTCCAACCACTACAGTCCAAGTCCTTTTGGATTCCCCCTGCCGACAATCTCCATCCTCTAAAAACCACACCGGTTGATCCCTGAAGGTTGGATTAATTGACTTCGGAATTGATTCCTGACGATGGAGTAAACTGACCGGTATACTATCCGAAGTATACCGGTCAACTTCATCGGTCAACCAGTCGTCCATCTGCCAACGATTCAGATCTCTCTCCTGAGTTTGACCCCCTTTGACCGGTCAACTATCCGGTCCTAACCTTTGACCGGTCTTGGGTGAAATACACCCATCAATAAGCCCTCCACTTCTCGCTTATGCAATTTTGTCATAAGCG